ATAATAATATATGTTCAAATATTATACAAAAATTATAAATTTATTTTTATTTATTTTTGTTAAACAGTTATTAAGATTTTTAGAATATTTTGAAATTTATATATAAATCGTATACAAAATGAAAACCTTGATTTTTAAACTTTAATAACTTTTTATATAAAATTATGAAAAATCTAAAAAACTATAACTGAGCTAATAACTATATATAGAATCTATATTCAAAATTTCATTTAATTAGATTCAATATTGATAGAATTGTGAATATTCGAAAATCACTATTTTGGTGTGAAAGGGCTGGCCGAAATGGGGGGTGGCCCGAAAGTAGGGTAGTTGACTCATACACTACACATGCCATGATATATCCAACATCGCCACATTGATGCAACCACAATACCAACAACCATCAATCCCACCGATCCAAAACTTCCCACAAATGAAGCTGCACCAGAGCTAGTAGCTGACGAGGAAGTAGTATTCGGATTCCCCTTAGCTGATGCAGCAGTAGTCCTTACATCTGTAGCATTCGAACAAGATCCCGCAGACGCCATTGCCGATGCATTCTTCGAAAAAGTGATATCAGCACACTACGATTTCATTAGCACCTCATTCTCACACTCAACTTCTAGAACCCATTGGAACGCACATTATACAACCCCCCACTCATCCCACCACCTCCCGTAACAACCTGAATCGTCGCATTCATCCCCTCCGTCACATTCCCCCCCCCCATACCGTTCCCATTCACCAGCAAATCCCGCAAACAAAAGCTCCCCATCCCCTCTTCCGCAAAAGTTTGTCGAAAAACCGTATTACAATCACCCCCAACATCGTTTCCATACCCAATGAGTACTTCCACATTCGCAGAAGCGTCTTTCATATCTAAAGCGATGGAGCCGCCAGCTAGAGGCCAGAGGGTTCGCTTGCTAGATATGGTGTTTTGGCCGCCGCGGGGGGAGGGAGGAGGAAGTGGGCGGTGGGGAGGATGGGGAGGGAAAATGTGACCAGCGCGGAGAGGATAGCGGTAATGCATTTTAGAGAGGTAAAGAGATGATTAGGATTGAATTATGGGTTGAGATGATATGAGATGGTATTAGATAAGTTTACTACAAGAAATGGCCATATCATTCATCACTCATACTTATATCTCTTCGTAAACTCGTAAATCTCACAAACACAATACAGAACCATGAAAAATTTCCATCCTATACCGTTCCGTTGCGAGTATGAGAGTGAAAATGAGCAGATTTGTTAAACATGCTCTCTCTCTTCCATTTCCATATCTCAGACTTGTTCCCAGAAAATTTTACAAGACTACTATTTACAAGGTACCGGTAGTCAGTCGAGTCGCCAGGAGTTTTCAAATCAATTGGGTCCTGAGCATGCGCTTCCATATCCATATCCATGCAACGAATTGAAACGTCGTCTTCAAGAACTTGATACTGGTAACTGGTGTATTCTCACCACGACGAAATAAAGCATAATTAAAGCATAAAAAGGAAGAAAGAGAGAAGAAATAAAAGAAAAATAGAGATAATATGAGCACGGAATTTTATTACCTCTCTGCTTTCTTTCTTTCTTCCTTAAAACACGTTTTCGTTTTAGTTATGAATAACTCGAATAATCTCATCTATATTATAGAGAAATCAATATCAATATCAATCAAGTTTTTACTTTACTAATTAGCTCTCTCTCTAAACACTCTTGGTTGGATCACCAAGTTCCTCCGTATAACAAGTGAGTAGATGAGTAGATTATTTTAGAAATTTCTAGTTCTAGTTCTATACTCGTAGTATGTATAGAACTTCGATATGAGGATACTGTATTCGATATATGAGTAAGGATTATTTTAAAAGGCCGATTTTTTTTTTTGAGTACTCGAGTATGAAAATAGGGTATCTTGTTTTGTCTGTCTGTCTGTCTCCTTGTATCTCTATTTCTATTTCTCTATCTTCTCTATCTTTATACAAAGCTTTTCTAGATTTCACTTAGTATCTATCTCATCTAAGAGTATAGTAAGAATATACGAGTATAATTCTTCGAGTCTTCGATTTACTTCGCTTCTCTTCACTTCTCTTCGCTTCGACAAATTTATTCATCCCTCTTATTTTTTTTATATACTGTACTTACTCTACTATGTTATATCATACTATACTATACTCTCCTCCTCGTTACTCTATCTTATAATTCATTCATCTTAAACTCTCTTCTCTAATCTACTCGAGTATAAATTATTATTTCTTTCTATTATCTTCTATTTCATCATACTATTTAATTTTTAATCTACTAATCTTCCTTTTATACCTGACATCTTTCTATTTCCCTTATATATCTATTCATAATATATCCCAACTAATTTTTTCCTTTCTCCTCCTTTTTTTCTTTCCTCCTCTCCTCTCTCTCCTCCCCTCCCCTCCCCTCCCTTTCCCAACATATCTCTCACCCTTCACCCTTCACCCTTCACCCTCACATAACCTCACCCTCACCCTCACCCTCCATCCTCCATCCTCCACCCTCCATCTCCACCTCCCCATCAACCTCAACCTCAATCCCAATCAAACTACCAACTTAACTCTACTAACTTAACTCTATTCTACTCGATTATTAGACAAGCACAAACCACAAACCACAAACATTTATGCTGCTGCTGCTGCTGTATAAATTCACTTTACACCATCCATCTATATCTATATCTAAAACACTAACTAATACAAGCAAGCAAGCAAAACATAACGAGCCTAGCGAGATAAACACCCAAGTACTCTCTCTACTCAAAGTAACAATACTCGTACAAAAAATCTTTACTCATACATTAAACATGAAACCTTGATATGCAAAACTTGGAGTGAAGACTAGAAAACTAGAAAACTAGAAAACTAAAACAATATAAAATGTATAAAATGAGATAGGAGCGCAAATGAATAAATAAATAAAGTCTTTGCTCTTTACTTCCCCCCCTTCCCCTTCCCTTCCCCCATATTCCCCTTTCTCACATTCGAAGAAGCGAGTCAATGCCGAGAAATTCCCGTTACTTATCGTTTTCCCCCAAAGAAATCATGCCCTTCCCCATATACATACTATCTCTTCTCTTCCCTTATCCTACTATCTCATGCATATTCCCTCTACTGACACTCTTTCTCATTCACAGACCTCCACCCCGCTGATATAACATCATACATCGAATCTCTCCACACCTGCCACTTCATCTACCTTCACAACCTTCACTACCTTCACAACCTAAAAAGCCCCCGTACCATTCTTCTCATCAATAAACCTATATCGTTCCCGCTCCTTACGATCCTTATTAAGCATCGCAATACCGAATATAAGTGCTACATCGAGACCTACACATTATTCTATTAGCCTCTCTTCGCCATCTCCACATTACATACACCCTTTGATTTCCCTCTGGTCAACTTCCCATCCTCCTTCACCTAGAACCCGAGAAAAACACAGGAACCAATGCTCCAGGGAGAAAACATACCAACAATTCCAAAAGCTGCGGTAAAAATGACATCCAAGAACAGCCCATCCAACTTCACAAAAGCCGCACTACACCCCGGCATCGTAGCCGCGATAATAGCATTCGGACACGTCCCATCCGTAACAAAAGCAGGAGCGCTCGTACTGTTAAAGTAGCCACAACAACTCAATTGTTCCTGCAATAGACTCTGGGTCGTCGGTGTTTGCTGATTCCACGTATCAAGAAGATTTTGCTTGGAGCGGAGAGTACCGAACCAAATATCGAGACCGATGACCAGTGTGAAGAGACCGCAGATGACGACCATGTAGCCATGAACTTTGAGCCAGCCGCGGGTGGTGCTGAGGGTCATGGCGGGAATGGAAAGGAGGAAGGAGAAGAAGATTAGGGCTGCGTTGACGATGGCGGCTGTGAAGGGGAAACGGAGTTAGCCATCTAGCATTCGTATACCTCTGAGGAATGAGATTGACTAACCAGTCAAAGGTGTTCCCAGCAACAAAAGATTCGTCGCAACACTCGCAATGGTAGGAGCCTGAGAAGTACCAGCCTTCGTTGTCAAGGCAAATCCGAGCAATAACGCCCCAGAACCCACAAAGAGTAGATCTAGGACAACATATGTCCAAAGTATCTTGTCTGTCATCTTTGCCCTTGTTGAATAGTACCAGCTATGCCAACCCAAAGTTGAAGTCGATATTAAATAAGTATAGATGGAATATAATAGAGTAAGATGACTTGGTGAAAGGACGACCGGCGTCTAAATGTGTGATAATAAGCCACTGATTGGGCTATCTTCGTATTTCAACGAAGGAACAAATCAAAGAATGAATAGAAGTGTAAGAAGTGAAGCAATCAATGCATAATGTGTCGAGAAATCGACCCCAACAACTGAACTTGGGCTTGGCATACAAAGAAATAAAAAGGTAGGTAAAAAGACAGAAATTGAATAGAATGAAAAGAATAAACAAAAAAAAAGTTTGAGAAACCGAGAAACTCTGAATACCCACCTATTGCAAAAACAACAACCAACAGTGCAAGGCAAAGCCCAATCGTACGTATTGCCTTTTAAAGGTGGTATGATCTTACAGTCCTAGTATAGAACAGAAACGCATTTCTGTATTGCTTCATAAAATGGGCCGTGCAACCAGCGTAATTCGTATTATTCCAAAAGATTGTAACAAAAGTGTAACTGTGGATGAAGGGGGATGGCGTAGCAGAATCATGAATGTTGTAAAAGTGCCAGGTGTGAATTGTGAAGGTGGTGCTTGGTTTCGAGGGGGTCCAAGGACTTTTGGAGACTTCTTCTTTACAATTGGCGTTTCGAGTTTTGCCTCATGATGGGTGGTTAGGAAGTTAGGAAGTAACAAATTTTGGGTTGAACCAATGATAGGGGAGGGTTGTGAATATTGGCATTGAGAAATTTTTGATACTTATTAAGGAAGGCAAGGCGATGGATTATGTACTGATATGATTAGGTAGGATCGATCCTTTCCCCAAGGGTTCAGAAGGCTAAAATAGATATTCATAACCTAAGGCAAGAAATAATAAAAAGCCTGCTCAGTACAATCTCAAAATGAACTGACAGTTTTTCTTAAACTGCAGATGATTTGAACAGCTTGATTAGAGCTTTCTCTGTATCATAAACTCTGTATACTCGAATATATGGGGGCAAGCCCTCAAACCCCCAAACCCCCTTTCCTCGCTGCGCTCGATTGAAGCGATATTTGTTATATATACATACATACATACAGGTATTGTAGATCCAATGCACGGCTATGTGCAGATATCTGAGATGGCCGTTGTTCTGGGTAAACGGAACTGATCAGTTGTACCATACCACACGGTGATACATACCTAGGCAAGGCTGCTGTCCTCAGATACGGGGAGACGGAAGTGATACTTTTAAGAGCGGGAAGTATGAACAAGTGCCGAGATAGTTATTCGGTTCACCTCCGACCGAAACATACCCCTAGGTAGAATCATACTTTTCATTCTGATTTCTGATTCATAACGGAGGTTCGGGTCAACAAAGGCTTTGCCTGTCCTTATCAAACGGGATTGTACTCTATGAGTTACCGTACCTAGTAAAGGTGACTTGATCAATATTAGCTAATCAGCATCCAATAATATATTTAAATTTACCCACTTTTTCTCTTCTAAAAGAGTCTTTATCACTTAACTAGCTTACTAATCTGTGATACCATAATAATAGCGTCTTTTGACTCTCTAACCCTTTTAAAGGTCGCATTTCCCCCAATTTAGAATAATCTTCCTTTCACGCTTGACCTCAAAAGGTTTTTATTTCATATTGCAGAATAAATCCTCCCTCTTGCCAACTCATCAAATCCCTGCGTTACAAACACAGTATCAACGAGTAACCGAACCTCTTCTATTTGCGATAACTTATCAACCTATCCAGAAAAGGTGTCAAAAAGCACTTTTTCGGTAAGGTATGTTAAATTATTTTTATAACTTCAGATGAAATTATTTTTTTGTGCATTTTATCGATTTACTGTATCCACATACCCTCTTGCTTCATCCTGTTTACCTTGCTCCTTGTTCTTCTACTGTATACCCACCATCATTTATCTCTATCTCCATCTCCATCTCCATCTCCATCTTCATCTCTATCTCAATCTCAATCTCAATCTCCATCTCCAAGTCTCAAATTTTTTACCCATTTTGAACACATGGTCGCACCGATCTTCACCCCCGCACCACCATAATTTCTACACTACACTACAGTACACAGTTCCAACAGCTTGGGAAATCATTTCGGGTTACAATTCATCTCTTTCTCACACTACTGCAAAGGCTTCTGCATCTGTTCAGGAGAGAGCACACAATGATCAAGAGTCAAGACATCCATTTCCCATATAACGGTCGAGTCAGCGATCAGGGTGAGATTTGGCCAATAGACCGAGTCACCTTATCTCAAACTGCCCTAGACAAGGGGAAGGGGTGAAGCCTGTTGCAGACTTTCCCCATTGCCAAGCATAATTCATTCTTTCTCGAGTAAAACTGCTTTGCTTGAGTAGTCGATTGATGAATCGGACTCGAGTGTACAGATTGAAAGTTGATCAATTGAAAGAAATGATCATGAGCCATATGTTCAAGATTAAATGTTACCGATACTTGAAGCAAAGTTGCTCTAGGGTACAGAGTAAAATTGCGATGACTTTTTGCAATTGTACAAGTTCGAGAGAAAGAGATCAGAATAATGTTTCTCTCAACTCATCTATCCACTCACTCTATTCAAAGTTCAAGCATATAACACACACACCACCTTTCATCTAGATTTCATGGACGAAGAAGCATCCGGGCTTTGATACCGTTGATACCGGTGCACGCCATTTCCCTTGCTAATCTCTTTTCCCAATAACCCATCCCCATCACTTGCCTAAAAGCTTACCAGAGCCGAGTGAAGACTGGGGACTGAGGTAAAAAGAGAGTGAGAGTCTACATTGATTCCATTTAATTGGATGACGATGTACTATTGAATACTAATTTGTGGGAACTCTGACTGACTCTTTTTGACCAGTTAAATTTTAACATTTTAACAATTTACCACCTCGATTTTTTCATTAATTTGATTGGATCATTTTCAACAATTCTCTCTATTAATTATACAGAGTACCGTACTGTGGCACGGATTTATTTATCCCTCCCTTGCCACTCACATATCCCACCCCACCTACTACTGTTCCTTCCCGCATACAATAGTCTTATTATCCACTAAGAATTGGTTCTCCACTCAATACAACGGAACTACTGGATGCACTGCACACTTTCCCGACCGAGCACATTTTCTTTTAGACTTTACTTGATTCATCTTACTTCACTTCATTTCATACAACCACAACCCCAGCCTCCCCCAGTGTTCATTGTTGTGTGTGTGTAGACGGACGGTGTCTGTATGTATCTGTGTGTATTTCCTTAGATCCAAAAGGTTGATATCCCAGATACAAAAAGTGTGCCAGTGCAAGTGCAAATCATTTAATTTGCCTGTGCTTCTTCAATCTATCCTCTTTTCAATTCATCCCACATTCGTACTGCAGCGATTTTGCCTGATCAATCCATTAATATCCCCCATCTTCTTCTTATAGTTACTTTCAAAAAAGTCTCCTTCTCAGGAACAAACCACAAAGTAGTCTACCGCCATTTTACTACGAAATCATAACCACCAAGATCCAAAAAAGACCAAAGAAGTACGTACCAAAAAAAAGAAAAAAAAAGCAACCAAGCACCACCTCAAATTCCGCAACCACGACCACATACATATCTTAAACCTGGAACATTCCCAAAAACCCAGCTAAAGTTTACATCAAATCAAATTAATCAAATCGAGATACAATTACCGTATACTAATTATTTTACTTTTAACCAGTTACGAACATTCTATACATACATACCATACCCGTACAATACAATACAATACAATTATTACAATTACATTCACCCTCATCAGGTAAATTCATTCCTTCATTCACTCAATCCAAACCCGTTTCATCCTCTTTTTTTCTTTTACCGCGTTTCTCGGTGCTCGGCAATCCTCCCAAAAATTGCGCCCTCTTCCAGTTAAATTTCAGCCCATCTTTTTTTGCCAGTAGGCTGAAATAATAAACTCGGCTCAACCCAAATTCACACCATTCTCAATCAAGTCTTCGTTAACCAGGTTTCTGCGACAAAGCAGGACAACAGCCTCTCCACCGCTCCCCATAAGCAGTAAGGTCGTCGGCAACCACCTCAAAACAGTCATTCTCGTCATACCTTACCTCATTTGAGAATTTAAATCTTATTCACAATGGCCGATATTACAGATCAACACGATCAAAACTCCCCATCAGCTCTCGATGAACACGCTGTCGGAAATGGAAACCCAAATGCTGGAACCGATGCTCGTGGTATTAAACGCGCAAGACCTACCACCGCAGACGATGACGACGATGATGATGATAAACCCGGTCGCGAAAGAAGAAAAATCGAGATCAAGTTTATTACAGATAAATCGCGTCGCCACATCACATTTTCCAAAAGAAAGGCTGGTATCATGAAGAAGGTCAGTCCTCAATTGTTATTCATGTCAATCCTGATACGCGTTGATGCAATGCGACGCGCCTATCATGTATCAAAAATTGGTCGCTGATTAGATGATTGCTTTTTAGGCATACGAATTGTCAGTCTTGACAGGAACCCAAGTCCTGCTCTTAGTCGTGTCCGAGACCGGTCTTGTATACACCTTCACAACACCAAAGCTACAACCTTTGGTCACAAAGGCGGAAGGAAAGAATCTAATTCAGGTATGCGCGACACTTCAACCTCACTCGGATTGATAAAGATTACATGCTAACATCAACCAGGCCTGCTTGAATGCACCCGAACCTACCGGCAATGGCGAGAACGGAGTTGATGATGGAAATACTGTCGAATCACCCGAAGAACCAACTCCACAGCATTTACCGCCACAACAGCAAGGTCGCCCTGGAATGCCACAACAACAGGCATCGCAAATGCACCCAGGCTATGCCGTGCAGGGGCTATCGCACGAACAACAACAGGCGATGGCGTATCAAAATTATATGGCTCAACAACAAAGAGGAGGATACATGCCTCCACAAGCTGGTATTCCACAGCAGCAAACGCATCAATCATAATACCGTTGCGAAGTTCCAGTACCACGAAACGGGTCGAATAAGTCTTTGAAACTTGATACCCGGCACATAATATAAGAGTGTTCTGCACCCATCGTGTCTTGCGGGGTTCGATTTTCTAATGTTGCTTCCGAAGGTGTTAAGGTGTCTATTTTTCTATATTATGGGGGGGGTATTATTTCATTTGATCTGCACAGTTGTATTTCCACAGCCGCACCAAAACAAACACAATTCGCAATAATGAGGTTAATAAACCTTACCATACTTTGGGACCCTGAATATGGTAGAAGGGAGGGGGCGTGTAAGGTGGTTGGTGGGAAGGGGGGGGCTTAGGCAGGCAGGTGGGCGGCCAAGTTTGGTTCTTCAATTGCGTTTGATTCCCTCTATTTGTTTGTTTTTCTCGTCTCTGATCGGCTTGGTTTCAGCATGATGGTAGTGATGATGCCATATGGTGATTGGGCATTGGATGGGGTAACATGGTCCATCTCAATGGGATGATATCAAAAGGATAATGGGAATGGTCATGGTTAGTGGCAATTCCTAGCTCAAAGTTGTTGTAGTAGCTCTCTCTTGTACAGTAAGCTCATTCCGGGGAGAACCAAATGAAGTAATCGATCGTTAAGGAGTTTTCTTAGGTGTAATGATCGTTTGTTTTGGTGAATAAATGAATGAATGAATGAAAGGTGTGATGAATGATCCATTCCTTTTTAAATTTTAAGCAGTACCTGTAATTCCTGGTGTGTATAAATATATATATACCTGTCATATATCAATGATTATCATATCATATCATTCCATCCCCTCAGACGACATCATCATCATCATCATCGCCGCGCAACACATGACTATTAATTATCCTTTTGGTTCTTTCTCTTTTATAGATTTATAGTATATATATAGTATGTATATATTTTTGCATTGGGCTTGCTTGTTTGTAGGTTGGAGGTTGGAGTTTGGAGGGAGGGGGGTTGTAGGGAGGGGGTATGTAGGAAGGGAGGGGGTATGATGTGATTGTAGAGTGTTTGTAGGGATGGGAGGGGAAGGATATGAGATTGGATTTTCATAGATGAGATGTTGCAGTAGGGGGGGTATTTGTAGTAGGGGGATTGTGGTGGGGGAGATTGTAGGAAGAGGAGGAATAGGGAGGGGGATTGTAGGGATGGGAGAGATATAATGTGGATGGATGTGATACTAGGTTGCAAAATAGAATGGATGGGTGGTATAAATGAGTGTGTGAGATTGAAATTGAGGTTGAGAATGTGTATGAGAATGAGAATGAGAATAAGAATAAAAATGAAAACAATATCTTCTAATCTACTACAGAAGGGTTTCCTAATATACAGTCAATAGCCATTTTACATTTACATTTACATATCAAGCACTTGCGGGAAGGGGGAAGGGGAAAGGGGGAAATCTAGTGATGATATATATATAGTATAGTACCATAGAAGATAGGAATCATAGAATAGGGCGATATAGGATTGGGATTATCCAATTCATATTTCTATCTACTCTATGAATATCGAGTATCGAGTATTGATACCCTCCCCTCCCCTCCCCTATCCTCCTTCTCCCTTTCTTTCCTCTCTGGTCTCATTCCCTATCATCCGATCATCTCCATGGTCAGCCCTATACAGCTAGTTACCAACAACTTATTCTCTCGACTTTCCCCTCCTTATCCTTCATTCATCAATATCAAACATCAAACATCAACATCAACGCTAGCGCTACCCGGATATCTCATATGCAATTATGCATTCAACTCTTCAACCAACGCCTCATATCGATATAGGGAAAAACAACATAGGACAAAAAGGATGTTCATGAATCAGTCAATCAATGTACAGTAAAAAACCAAACTCGCAGTAAAAGTAAATAAAAATGCAACCATGAGTATATAGGTATGTGTGGTATGGTACATCCCCTAAACACCCATACCCGAACCAGAAGGCCCGGCTCCGCTTCCAGCCCCAGAGTCAGAGCCTCCTATTCCCAAAATGTCAAGTCCCGAACCCCGATCATCACCAGAAGAAGGAGGTCCCTTCCCACTCGCAGCCTCCGCACTCCTATCTTTCCACCACCTCATTTTCCACCACCCACCCGTCGCATCTTGCGTTTCTAAACGTATAGAGCGTCTCTTTCTCGGTGTGGGACGAGCTGTAAATCCTGGGAACCCCGTTGAACGTCTTCTGCGTCTACGGGATGAAGATATTTGACGGTGTAGTAGTGATGTATTTTCATCTGGAATTTGTGAGTCTCCACTTTCTTCATCATATGTTGAAGACCTGGGGAGAGTAGGTGCCGAATCCGGTCTTGGTGGTTTTGGTCTATTTGCTCTCGTAGGAGTAGATTTTGCATCATCATCTTCTAGTTCGCCCCAAATTTCATCGACTTCCGAGAGTCTGACTGCCTTTCTTACATGTCTAGTAGCGCCGATAATCGTATCGAGTTTGGTAGTAGGGGTCATGGGTTCGCAAATTAGGAGGGCTTGATTCTCGGCGCCTATGGCTGCTTCCTCGTCTGCGGTGTAGGATTCTGAAGATTCGTTGTCAGTATCTTCAACGAAGCCGAGGCCAGGGGCCAGCGCACTTTGGGCTACCGCTGGCTGGGTCTGTTCTTCGTTGAGACGCCAAGAGAGGGCTAGGACGCCCGAGAGTAAGATGGCTGTTCCGAGGGCGATCAGACCTGCGTGGAGGGCCGGTAGCCTATCGGTTTGTTTGAAGTATATGAGGCCATCGAGAATGGCTATAATGTTGTAGATGCAAAATACTAGTGGATAAAGCACACTGGTCGATACTAATTTGAGACCGCGATGTAGGAAGTATAGTTGTGTGAGAGCTAAGAAAATGAGACCGAAAAGAATAACCCATGATTGCCATCGATCGAATTGGTTGTGCCGATCGACAATCGTTCGGACCAAAAGCTCAACTGCTGACTTGGCTACCAATAACGAGTGGGCTGATAATATCCCACTGATACACCCATATGCCAATCCTCTAAGAAGTCGTATTCGAGGACTTGCGGAAATCTTTGGAACTCTACCCAGAAACCACGCAAGGACGACTATTCCCGCAACCAATAAAGTCTGCATTATCATCCAAATGACAAACGTCCTTCGTCCGAGGAGTAAAAGTAGTTGATCAAGCGTATGGGCAGGCTCCGGAATAGCCCCAAATATAGCAATAAGAATAGCACCCGTCGAAACCAATAAAGTTCCTCCCAACGACCATGCCGTAAACGGTTCCCCCAATATTAAAGTGGCGCAGATGGAATTGAATACCAAACCCGAGGCTTGTAGTGTTGACAATACAGGAAGTGGTAAAGTTGTTATTTGAATCGTACTGCCCACAAGGTTCGATATAATAAACATGCCCATGCCCAACTGCCATCTCCTCCTTCGATACGGTGGTCTCCGAACATGATGTGCCCCCTTCTCATCTTCCAGAATATGTGATTTGCGTTGGAGAGTCAAGCCGAGACTTTGAATACTCGTGGATATTAGCCCTACTAGTATTCCAATCTGTAAATACAGAAAACGGATAGTTAGAGATGTGCGACAAGTAATATAACCATTTCGAGGACGGGAGGATTTGACTTACAGCCACGCTTCCCCCAGGCGATAGGTCGCCGAGCTGTCCCATCACGATATATTGCAAGGCTTCATTTGGTGTGTTTCGGTATAGCTATCTGTCTGAGAAAGAGATTGTATGGTGTAATTATTTGTTGAGAGAGAAACTTGTTGTGGGAGGTGATTGTTCCAACTCGCGGTCAATATCAAGTCATATGAGATGTCTCGGTACAGGGTGTACAATCGCAAGTCAATATCATGAGTCCTGCGAATTGCTGCAAGAACTTCAATGATTCACACCAAGTATAATACTGCAAATATGACAGTGAAAACAGCAAGTTTCGTCTCAGATGAAAGAGAAAGAATTCTGGCATGAATTATTAATTTCCCATGAGTCAAGGGACATTCCTCACCGTTCAAAAGTCGAAATACGAAAACGCCACATAATCACATGATCTTCAATCGGACGTCGCTTCCCTTATCGCTTCTGGACCTTGGAGCTATCCCAGGCCATCAATCCCCAACCTTGCTCTTACTCTCGAAGCTCTAACGAATCCAACTTACAGCTTCCATATCTTTTGAAATCACACAACCTCTCCCGTAGCTCTACACATACCAATTGCCCATCATGTCACACGCTTTGTCGGACGACCAGGTAAGTGGAGCTATTTCCAACCATTAACTCAGGCCCATGGACTTCTGCTAATGCTATATCTCCAGGTGTCGCAGGTACAGCTTCCCACCTCCTTCCCCGGACTCCCTACCCCAGGACTCGATATTAACACAATGTGAAATTAGGAGCTGAAGAAGATGACGGCATTTATCAAACAAGAAGCCATGGAAAAGGGCCGCGAAATCGAACTCAAAGCAAATGATACGTCTTCCACACCACCAACTCCCCCGTTCCCTCTCCTAACATCCCATCACAGGAATTCGCCATTGAAAAATCCAAGCTTGTCCGCCAAGAAACATCCTCCATCGACACCCAATACGAGAAGAAATTCAAAACCGCCCGCATGTCCCAACAAATCACTCAATCGACCGTCGCAAACAAGACTCGTCTCAAGGTACTTTCTGCTCGCCAGGAGCTACTCGATGGCATTTTTGAACAAGCACAGGGAAAGCTGAAGGAAGCCACGAGTGATAAGGGTAAATATACGGAGATAATGAAGAATTTGTTGTTGGAGGGCATGTATGCGTTGAATGAGGAAAAGTTGCAGGTAAGGGGGAGAAAACAGGATTATGAGGTTCTTAAGAAAGCGATTGAGGAGGCGCAGAAGGAGTATAAGGAGAAGACGAAGAAGGATGTTGTGGCGAGTATAGATGAGAAGAATCCTTTGCCGGAAGATACGTAGGTTTTCTTGGGTTTGAATGATATGAGAATATTGAAGCTAATTTCTATACAGTGCTGGTGGTTTGTCCATCATTGGCGGAGGAGGCAAGATTGATATCAACAATACTTTTGAGGAGCGTCTGAAGTTACTCCAGGATAATGCATTACCCTCTGTTCGAAACACATTATTTGGACCTAATGTCAACCGGAAGTTCTACGATTAGGTGTTTGTTGAATGAAGAGCGTTGTGTTTTGAGAGTCTAAAGGGTGGAAATGGGGTACCTAAGGAGCTTTGCACATTCCAATTATACAATATTGCAGATTTTGTTGGTAGAGCGTGTAAGGTACATCAACATCGATATTATTAAATGAAGATTTCATACAATATCTTTGATCTTTGAGGGTATTCAAATGCCAATCATTTTGGGATTTCTCCAGCCGTGACTCCCGCCATACTGTCGACGGCATCGCTCTACTTGGCTTTCTTCACAAACTTGGACATGCTCTTTTGCATGTCCCCTAGATGCTCTCGATTATCATAAAATTTCTTAGTCTCTTCGTAAAACATACTTTTCGGTTTCGATCGAGTCCGAACGGTATGTTCGATCCTCCTCTCCACCAAATTCAAGATCCCCCCAGCTTCCATCCTCGAGATGTTCGCTGCACCCGAGATTTTGATACCAAAATTAGCAAATCTATTCGTTAATTCATCGACATCGTTATTAAACTGTATCTCCACATTTTTATCCGAAAGATCTAAATCATCGGATCGTCCATCGTCGATTGCAACGTCTAGGAGTAGGATTAGGGAGGCGAGCTCGTGATAATCGGTATTGCGGTTTACGTGGAAGGCGGGTTCTTTGAGACGCTGGGTCAAGGAGGGGATGGTGATTATTTTTTGGGGTGGCTGAAGTGATTTGGATAGGGAGGAAAAGTAGAATGTTAGGGCTAGGCGGCGACGCAGTTCGTGGAGGCGGGAGGAGCGGATGGGGGGTATGGCGTTGATTATGCGGAGGCGGAGGGAGGGGAGCTCGATAGTGTTGAAGAGGGTGGCGCAGATTGCTTGGGACTGTAGGAGGGAGAGTTAGGTTCAGAGTGAGGTTTAAGGTTGGAGGGGGTTGGCTTACGGATTGTTCCCAAGAGTCTGGGTCAATGAAGAGACATAGGTTGTGGAGGGTTGATTGGACTGATGAAAAGAGATCTACTCTTTCCAGTAGGATCGGATCGATTCCTAGCCTTAAAAGTATACATATAATTTCTAGCCTGGTTTCTTGTTGGAGATACTTGGCTATTAAATTTATGAGATCGATTAAAGCTCGAACTTTAGACCACGGATGGTGTGAATATGCATCGGATATCTCTGGACGTGGGTTTATCTTGTCAGTAAGAGTAATAGCTGATGATGTAGCGCCAATAGATTTGAACATGTTCCTAATAATTTCTGGAGTGACAAGTCGATGAACCTGTTCGCCGGATACTCTCATAATCGAGGAGTAGGAATTTCGAAGATCGGCCTGGTCTTCCATGCAAATATCATCCAGAATCCATTGAATGATCTCATCGGGTAATATCTTTCCATAAGCCACCATATTTTCTGCAAATCCAGATACAAATGTTTGATGTCTGTTTTGAGGTTCGGCAAGATCATTCTTCCAGTTTATCGGCAGTAAAGCTTTTGGAAATGGTTGTCTCTTGACTGTAGGAATTCTGTCGGTCTCAAAAAAGTACCACCGACTGCCCACGTTCATAGCTTCTGTTCTCTCAATAGCATTCATAACTTTCTGAACATCTTTCCCATCACCTTCTTCCTTCTCCTCGTTCAGCTCTCGTAGAATATTGCCATGTACGCCATCCGAGAACGCGCCGGGATCATCATCTCCCATCTCAGTATCCTCCTGTGCTAATTCCTCTAGCCTTCTTTCTTTCGCCTCAAGCGCTTCATCAGCCGCTGCAGTTCCCATAAGATATTTCATGTCGAATTTATGTTGTGTTCTGACGGCCGAAGGAGAAAGCTTATTAGTCGTTACGGGAAGTTTTCTGGACATGGAAGCTCTAGAGGTTACCGGAGCTGGTGTGGAGGAAGAAGTGGTAGCTGGCGCTCGGCGATTTGTTTTGAATATGACGTTAAGGTCTTCCAAAGAACTATCGGAGAACGCGCTATCATCTTCCTCGTCGGAACCTGGTACAACGCCATTTGAAATGTTTGAGGAGGATTGCGGGAAGTTCGTCGGTGGTTTTGATAAAGAAGACGAGGATTGTTGGGAAGATGTGGCCTCCATAGAATCGTCTGTCATCGGGTTTGCTGGCTGAAGGTTTGTAGAAAGTGAGCATCCAGATGAGGTCCGACTGTTGCTGTGACTTTCAGAAAGAGGGGTAGATGCTGATGTCGAAATCGGTAGTATCGTTTTAAAGAATTGGCGAATATTTTCATTGATTTTCACTGGAGACATATTGGGGGCGTTCGAAAAGTATAGCACATGTAGTGTAGCAAAAAGTAGTGTTAAATTCAGTTCATGGAAGCTTGTTTCTAAAGGTGCCTATCGGCCTGGTATATTTCCAAAAGTCGAAAGTCGCGTCTGTCGCGTAATCGATAATGCTTGCAGACACGAACATCACGGGATCACGACAATTCGATTCACTGTTTCTATTTTGGGTATTAGGTAAGTGCCGGATTCTGGATTCAACGGGCATTGCGATCAACAGCCATTCAATCAATCTAGATGAGACTACGTAACTCCACTCCACTCCACGACCACGACTACCGATACCGATACCTGTACAGAGTACGTTTTTAAAGTGCTGGGCGGAAAAGACCAGACTACAAATCTACTATCCATATCGTTCTAGTTCGACAGTTACTAATCGTCGGGTAGTTACTAGGTAGGCCTAAGAGCCGCAGGCTCCGCTGAAGGGAGCTAAGCCTACCACCCGACGATTATTAGTCGATTCTTAGTCTTAGGTTATTTTAGTCTTATAATGCATGCTGTACTGTATGCATCAATGTTACTGTCGACGTCCTCTGCTTCACCAACACCACCTAGAAAGTCCCTGCATTTACGTTCTAGCTTCGATGTGATGCAAATGTCAAACATCCATATGTTCTTTGATGGTCCGGTCCGGATACTCGCCATCCTTCTAAGAGTCTAGGAGTCCAAGTCTCGCGTTGCACTTTTATTACGAATGATATTATGCATGCTGATTATACACCAAAGTAAGCAGCAATTACATGTATTGTATATCATCTAATACTTTGGTTCCCGAATCCTTTTCGATGGCTGGTTTCGGATATCTAATTGGAGTAATTACCTAGTATTTATTGTATATTATTTCCCCTTTGCTACAAATCAAGTTAAAGATTAGATTTAATATCCGAGACTTTTCCCCGAATCTTTCCTCTCAAGATCGATCCTTTGTTCGGCCGAGTTTCCCTCAACTCGATTTGCAGCCCCATTTTCAACACAGGTGAACCACTGCTTACATATGTCAATTTCTACTTTTTTTCTTCTCTCTTAATCCTCTTGGTATTTATGTTATTCACCAAAAAGTTATGACAAAGCTCACTAAGCAATACCTAAGGTTAACCCCTGAACTTTGTTTCTAAAAATTGATTGGTGTAAACGTAAATCAATCCTAACCACCCTGTCAAAGTACCCACCCCAATGCCTTCCCCAAGGAGATTCAGCCCTCTTCAGAAATTGTATGGCGGCACAAGCATGAGGTGAGCAATGCAATGAGCATACCGGTACGATTACCGTTAACTGTATTTTAAGAGTATTTTGCCCTGAATTCCGATTACCTAGTTCTCTTACTTACAGGACAAATCAATCGTTTATTCCATGGAAATTCCTTTCTTTCATATTTTCCTCCAAAGCCAAGCCAAGTCATTTCGAATCATTTAATCTCTATTTCTACCTAGGTACTGTACCTTACCTAGGTCATTCAACCGACCAAGATTCTGTAAATCTTTTAACCTTTGAGAAGCATAGCATAGCAAAATGTTCTATAATGTATGAAAAAAGATTCTACTATTTATTATATTCCTCGGTACTTTGTCTGCATTTATCTCCATTATTCATTATCCGTTCTCCGAACTCGACGGTTTCAAGTGGCGTTTGCTGCTATACTCTTTTTTAGCTGTTGCTCAATAAGCTTTTACGAACTCCCTTTTCACCCCCCGAACTTCCTTCCCTTCCCTTACCTTCACTTGCTTAAACCATAACGCCCCTTCCAATTTCTTTCTCTCAACGTCAACAGACGCTCATAGACTCTTCGAAACTTCACGATACCTTCAATTCGATTACATTCCTATTTGGAATTTGATCACGTACTCGTACCCATCTCTCAACTACCTATTCCGACCTTACAAGGTTCAGACTTTCAACGAATACCGCCTATTCGCGATATCCTGGCCGACTCTTCCGGTACCAATTTTAGTTGTCATAAGCGACCCATTCTAAGGTACTAGACCTCCTACTGTACTGTGTGGACCTTTTGACACAACGATACTTCTTACCATTGCTCGTCGATTTCAATCTCGCATCTGTCAAAAATTCTAGTCAAGATTTAATCGTTTCAATCGTCTCGTCTTCATCACGGAATATCCTTCAACAATCGAATTCACTCAAACACTGGCGGACACATTGACCTTGCCTGCGGGCTCTTGCCTCACACTGGGCTTCCGCTCCAATCACAAACGATCGCAAGCATGCCGGACATCGACATGTACGCAGAACCCGAGGAGGATGCACCTAACCCAACGACAAGGCGAATGAGATGGGCTACACAAAGAGTACCGGCGAAAAACGGTGACAAGAAGAGGACGTCGATACTTGACCGACTACATCCGCGCAGATCACAAGGCAGCGAGAAGAGAGACTCTGCAGGCGCGAGTTCCATGGGAACGGATCTTGGCAGGATACCAGAAGAGGAGCCCAATCAAGCTGCGGAAGAACAGACGGAGGAGGACGACAATGACGGTCAAGGCCCTAGAAAAGTCTTTTTTAATCTTCAATTGCCACGGGACGCGATCGACGAGTCAGGTCACCCTTTGGTTCATTATAAGCGTAACAAAATCAGAACCGCAAAATACACCCCTTTGAGTTTCATACCGAAGAACATTTGGTTCCAATTCCACAACATCGCGAACGTGTATTTCCTGTTTTTGATCATTCTCACCGTAAGTCCAGATCTTCTAGACCGCGAATGCAAGCAAGGCTGATGATTCGTTGTAGATCTTTAGTATCTTTGGTGCATCAAACCCAGGTCTAAATGCCGTTCCCTTGATCGTTATCGTTGCGATTACGGCCATCAAAGACGGAATCGAAGATTATCGCAGAACTATCCTCGACAACGAACTCAACAATTCGCCTGTCCATCGACTCGTTGACTGGAACAACGTCAACGTCAGCGATGACGATATTTCACTATGGAGGAGAATTAAAAAGGCCACTTCGCGTTGGATCGTAGAGACTATCAAGAAAATGAAGAAGGACAAGAAGCCACCCGGGGAGACATATGCCCAACGTGCTATGGATGTGGAGGAACCTCGACCCTCGTTCGAGTCAAGGGCTGCCCGAGATGATATTCAGATGACACCAGTGCCCTCTCCTCTTCCCCGAGATTGTGACCTTAAAGTTCCGGATCGCCCGAACACGGCCTTATCTTACGATGCTAGCGGCAGTCCACCTGCAGAAAAGAATTTTGGAACTTTGATCAACCGCAACAATCCAGTGACCGGAAAGTCCCGGTTTCACCATGATTATTGGAAGAACGTACAAGTTGGAGATTTCGTTCGCATTTACAACGACGATCAAATTCCAGCAGATATTGTGATTTTATCCACCTCTGATCCCGATGGAGCTTGCTACGTAGAAACGAAAAATCTGGACGGTGAGACGAATTTGAAGGTACGACACGCTCTTCGTAGTGGTCGAAGCATCAAACACGCTCGTGATTGTGAACGAACGGAGTTCACTATAGACAGTGAAGCACCGCAACCCAATCTTTATCAATACAGCGCTGTAGCTCGCTGGACGCAATATAACGGAAAGGATGGACCGGGCGAGGAGATGATCGAGCCGATTTCCATCAACAACCTACTTCTTCGTGGGTGTAACCTAAGGAACACAGACTGGATCCTCGGAGTTGTCGTATTTACTGGTTTTGACACCAAGATTATGTTGAACTCGGGAATCACACCAAGTAAACGCTCACGCATCGCTCGAGAACTCAATTGGAATGTCGTTTACAATTTCATTCTTCTATTCACCATCTGTTTCGCTTCCGGTCTCATTGAAGGTATTATTTGGGGAGAAGGAAATAATACCATTGATCTTTTTGAATTTGGTTCCATTGGTGGAACCCCAGCCCTTGATGGTTTCATTACCTTCTGGGCTGCTCTCATTCTCTTCCAGAATTTGGTACCAATTTCGTTATACATCACAATTGAAATCATCAAGACTTGCCAGGCTTTCTTCATCTACAGCGATACTGAAATGTATTACGACAAGCTCGATTATCCTTGTACGCCTAAATCGTGGAATATCTCGGATGACTTGGGACAAATTGAGTATATATTTTCTGATAAGACAGGAACCTTGACTCAGAACGTTATGGAATTCAAAAAGGCCAGCATCAACGGGGTTCCTTACGGAGAAGCATATACCGAAGCTCAGGCTGGCATGCAGAAACGTCAAGGTATTGATGTAGAGAAAGAGGGTGCAAGAGCTAGACAGGAGATCGCAGCAGCACGGGCTAAAATGCTGGTTGACGTCAGGAAGCTCCATGATAATCCTTATCTTCACGACGATGATTTGACCTTCGTTGCGCCTGACTTTATCACCGATCTCGCTGGTGAAAATGGCAAGGAGCAACAAGACGCCAACTATCAGTTCATGTTAGCCCTGGCTCTTTGTCACTCGGTTATCTCAGAAACTACTCCAGGAGATCCGCCTAAGATTGAATTTAGAGCTCAGTCGCCTGACGAAGCAGCATTGGTTGCTACTGCCCGTGATGTCGGTTTCACTGTTCTTGGAAATTCGCCAAACGGTATTGTGTTGAACATCCAGGGACAAGACAGGGAATATAGGGTTCTCAACCAACTCGAATTCAATTCGACGAGAAAGAGAATGAGTGCCATCATTCGAATGCCCGATAACAAGATTATACTCTTCTGCAAAGGTGCAGACAGTATAATATATTCTCGCTTGAAGCGAGGAGAGCAACCGGAGTTACGCCGTACCACAGCGGAACATCTGGAAATGTTTGCAAGAGAAGGTTTACGTACTCTCTGCATCGCGCAGAAGGAGCTTGGTGAGCAAGAGTACCAAGACTGGAATCGCGAGCACGAGCTTGCGGCTACAGCCATCCAAGACCGTGAAGATAAGCTGGAGGCGGTATCTGATATCATTGAGCGTGATCTCACATTGCTTGGAGGCACAGCTATTGAGGATCGTCTGCAGGAAGGTGTGCCTGATACCATTGCACTTCTCGCAGAAGCTGGTATCAAACTCTGGGTTCTCACCGGTGATAAAGTCGAGACTGCCATTAATATTGGATTTTCGTGCAACTTACTCAATAACGACATGGAGCTTATTGTCTTCAAGATTGAGGACGAACAAGTATCCACTGCGGAGGCCGAGCTCAATAAACACTTGGCAGCCTTCAATCTGACCGGCTCCGATGCAGAGCTCAAAGCTGCCAAGAAGAATCACGAGCCACCGGCACCAACACATGCCATAGTAATCGATGGAGACTCTCTCAAACTTGTATTGGACGACACATTGCGACAAAAATTCCTTCTCTTGTGTAAAGAGTGCAAATCGGTTCTCTGTTGTCGAGTCAGCCCTGCTCAAAAAGCTGCCGTTGTCGCAATGGTTAAAGGCGGCCTGGATGTCATGACTCTGTCTATTGGTGATGGCGCGAATGATGTTGCTATGATTCAAGAGGCAGACGTCGGAGTTGGTATTGCTGGTGAAGAAGGAAGACAAGCCGTTATGTCTTCTGATTACGCCATTGGACAATTCCGGTTCTTACAGCGGCTCGTGTTGGTTCATGGAAGATGGTCATATCGCAGATTGGGAGAAACGATTGCCAATTTCTTTTACAAGAACGTTGTGTGGACCTTTACCATTTTCTGGTATCAGATCTTCGCCAACTTCGACATGACATATCTCTACGATTACACTTATATCCTCTTATTCAACTTGGCTTTCACATCTGTTCCCGTCATTTTTATGGGCGTTTTAGATCAAGACGTTTCGGATAAGGTTTCTCTTGCGGTTCCCCAACTCTACAGAAGAGGCATCGAGCGAAAAGAATGGACCCAGAAGAAGTTCTGGTGAGTATAAATGCACTCCTTTGGTGAAATATCCAGGACTAATTTAGACTAGGCTTTACATGGCTGATGGCTTGTACCAATCCGTCATAATTTTCTTCATGGCATATTGCTTGTTCGAGGATGGTACTTCTGTCACCGAAAGTGGCCAAAGCATTGATGACCGAGAGCGATTTGGAGTCTACGTAGCGCCTGCGGCTATTGTTGCTATCAACACTTATATCCTAATCAACACTTACCGATGGGATTGGCTCATGGTCCTTCTTGTCACTATAAGTATTCTCTTGGTATGGTTTTGGACTGGCGTCTATTCGTCTTTCACTTCGTCAGACTATTTCTACAAAGCTGCCGCTCAAATCTTCGGCCAAGCCACCTTCTGGGCAGTCACATGTCTCTCTGTAGTCGTCGCTCTTCTACCACGGTTTACCATCAAGGCTGTGCAGAAAGTTTATTTCCCATACGATGTCGACATCATTCGCGAGCAAGTCCGTCAAGGCAAATTTGATTATCTTGAAAGAACCGATGAGCATATGGATGCAATGTCCAAAGATGGTTCATCGGCATCTTCCTCAGAGATTACGAAGCCGAGTAAGCACATCCACTATCCGAGCATTGATGAAGACCAACGACCCATTTACCCCCCTTCAGTTGCTCCGACGAACACTACACACAACCCTCGAAGTCAAAACGGTAGCGATGGAACCGACTTTACACGACATGGAAATTCGATGGATCAACTCGGTCCTCGAGTCTCAGTCGAAAGGCCGCGACCTTCCTTCGATAGATTGCGAACGTCGTGTGATCGAGTTAGACCAAGCTTCGAGGCTAGTAACGATTTTACTTCGGCAGCCCTGCTAACCCGATTAGAATCGAGTCAATCGTTTGGGCCGCTGAGAAGTAGGAGGCACGACGACATTTTACAATGATACCCGAACATGACATTCACTATGTTCCAATCTGGAAGATCGCGACGAACTGTACCATACACTTTTCTTTTCTTTTGTTGATACAGGAGATATTAAGCATAATGATCTGCAGGAGCGATCTACGACCTTTGTGTTCTACATTTGGTTTTCTTTTGCATTGGTGTTCCAGGCGTTCTAAATGACATGAAAAGGCAATAGGCTAAATTATCTTATTTTGTTTGGTTCTTGATTTTCTGCTGGCGGGGGCATGTTATAGATCTTCACTTCTGGTGGTGTATATTCAACAGTGGTGATAGGATCAGTGGTCCATTTGTATATAGCGATTGCAAAACAAATAAGTGCACAGAGCTTCAATATAGAGAGCGAAGTATAGTCTTCAATTTCTTATATGCCTTGCAGACATGTTAATTCTTTGATTATGCTGTCAATTGTGACCTGAACAAGCCTCTGGGTCTCTAAAGTTACAATAATAATATCTAGCCTGGTCTTAAACATAGAATAGTTAATAGCAAAGCAATTAGATCTAAACAGTGAATAACATCTAGATGGGACTAGTTCGACTTAGCCATATGCCTGTGAAGTGACAAATAGCCTTGCATGCAAGGCTGTCAACAAAAATCAATATAAGAAGGACCACGTGAAATGGCTTTGACCTAGCCTTGTCACACGCGTCTGTAAATATACTCTTGCCCTTACCTCAATTTTTGCTTTTAATACATGATACTAATGTCGCTCAACTGTGTATTATCATTTCTGTCTTCCACAAAGCCTGGGCGTTAATTTCTATTGCCAGAAACCGCGCTTCACATTCACTCTATTTTAGCGTATTCAAAGGCGACTACTTTCTTCCTTCCAGGTGCTTAGAATTGCAGAACCTCCGAATCATACCTCTTAATAAACCTACCTCGAATACTATCTGTAAACAACATCTATCCTCGTCAATCGTGGTTCTTCAACGTCTACATTTGAAGCATAGGCTCGTCTTATAGGATATCTGCAACTATGCCTGATGAAGCGGATATCATGGACGAGCTCCATGGGCTCAATGGGTTTGTACCGCAAGTTATAGCTACATTTGGGATTGGTACTGATCAATTCTTGACAGAGAACTGAAAAGTTTTCCAGCCGACACCCATTGGTTTTGTCCCAAGCGGAGCGACGAAGATTATGTCGATTATTCTCGCCCAGATGACGCTGAGGAGGACATGAGCGCAGAAACCAAAAAGGAACTTATACAAGATGCCCAGCGGAGACAGACTCTTGCATACAAATGTTCCCTTTTTATAGGCTTAGATCGCGATGCAGGGGGGGTGATGGTAGAAGACTACCTTGAACGTTTAAACAAGCTATTGACGTGCTGTGACAAATGTGTGTATAATTGGCATATGGGTCGCAAAGCATACCTCAAAGAACTAGCAGAGTAATACCTCACACTACATACTTCGTCCGGATGCTGACATATTTCAGGAACTTCGACGATGAGACTATTGCAGAGCTCTCAAGCCGCCTCAATGCTCTCGACTTCCAACGTATAGACAGAGGGCTGGAGTCAAGTACGAAAGTAATATTCGAAGCGGAACCTTCAATGAGGACACAAAAACTTCTTGCTGGGCACAACTCGTCCCTTCTATTAGCACTTTACGAATCACTTTGCTGCGTCGATTATCACAAATCCGCAGATAACCTCTCGAAGCACTTCGATTTCGTCTTTGAAGAAATACAAGCAAAGAAAGTTCTTAGGATAAGTGACATATTACCAGCTACAGGCCGTTTTCTCTTTGATAGCAACGCCATACGACTACGATTTGCTAGATGCGCCTGGCAAAAAGCCAATACTATGCTTACACCCGAATCATTCGACTGGGTTGTGCATGACACATTGTCGGGAGCAATATTTTCTGTGACCCAGGGAAACTACGATTACGACGATATTATACGATTTTGGGAAGGATTCATTTTGATTTTGGACAAACTGGATGAACACCTCATAACACATTCCCTCCGAGCAATGGAAGTTCAACCAAATGTGTATATGCTAGCACTCCAACATTTGACCTGTAAATCAGAAAGGATTGTTCAGCTGGTCATCGAAGTGCTTAGAGGTCTACTCAAGAAGTCCCCAAGGAACTTCTGGGCTGCATTTGTCACAATATCACCAGCCACCATTGCAGAACAAATTTTCCAGAGTCGCTTTGATGAAATGCTTCACAGAATAAAGTTCGGGGATCCAGAAACTTCTTTTGCTCTAGCATGGTTACCTGAGATCGTGGAATCACTACCTTCTGATCGTCAATACGATGCCTGCAGTTCCTTTCTCCGATTGCTCCTAGGGCGTTTTCAGACCGCGAGATATCCAGAGAATGCCAGACTTGCTTGTTGTCGGGCTGCACTAGATACTCTCCGTGCCACCTTAGACACCTTTGTCGATTCGGAATACAACATCAACCCGTCGACATCTCTTATATTCATCAACAACATCATGGGACTTGTTGACCTGTACAAGGACACGATCACGGGCTGCGCTGATCTCAATGCTATCGACGCTACACACCAAGAACTGAGAAGGCTTGGTATGGTAGTAATACGAGATGCTTTGGCACTGGATTGCAAAGCTTTGAGTGCAGAGTTTCAAGCTCTTGTGAAAGATATTCCGATACAACAGGGTCTCAGAAGTCATTCTCAGCCAATTTGGCAAGCTGTTCTTGATATTTTCCGACCAGGAAATGTAGATTTAGCCAAGAGTATTCTTGCCGCAACTACTCATCTCACCGGTTTGGATGAACTCACACCAAAATCAAAGAAATTTCCGCTTCCTTCCTCCCATCTACAATACAACAAGGATTTTCACAAACTCACCGAGAACGTGTCCAGAATCTTTGAGAGGCTCAGTGATTTTGATGCATCTCATTTGATCGAGATGTATCGAGACTCCCAGACCTCTCGTCCACTCTTCGCAGCCCTTGTTTCTGCTGATCAAGAAATATTCGAAGCTGCTGTTGAAGTTGTTAAAGCTGCAACAGGTCAAATAAGCAAGCGAGAAGCCATGTCGAGCTTGTTAGAGCAGGCATTTGTACCGATGTTAAATTCTTTGACTTTTGCTGTCGTCCGGATTACCAAGGCAAAGAACTTCTCCCCAGTTCCATATCTGATTAAAGTTGGGCGAGATATGCTCAATGCTCTATGTGGGAATACGGGATTTTTGCGAAATCATTCTTCTTTAGATTCCACGGAACGGGGCGCTGTAATGTCTTGGTGGACTAATCAGTGGCGTGCTCTTGATATGATGTTCTCCACTACCGAATCATGGGGAGGTCGTGTTCAGCGCCCAAAGGAGTATCTGCAAGACTTTTGCCGAGATGGCATGGAATATGCAGAGTCTTTGTTCAATCAATATAGTATCATTGCTTCAGCTTTAGGCGAGTCTTCTTACTCGTCTAGTGACCAGTCAATAGCCCACAGCTCGTCGAAGACTGCACTAAAGAAAGTGTTGCAGGTTGTTTGCGTGAACGTGAACGGCTTGACTATGATGCTCAGACTGAGAGACATCTATTTAGTCAGTGTGATTACCAGTCTCCTTGGAAAGCTTCTTCGATCTTTGGCAGAGTTTGATGTCGAGATTCATCAATTTGCGCTAGAATATATCCAAGATGCATGCAAAAATGAAGAAGAGAGAGGATTCAGGAAGACCAATCTTACGAACCAACAGAAAGCCGAGTTACATGCTGCTCTTGATGAACACAAAGGCGTGGAGATTATAGAGAGTTTCTCTACAACGGCCAAGAGACAACAGTCAAAAATCGATTCGTGGTCGAAGTCAGCAGGAGGTTTAAAACATGAGCCATCGATCAATATTAAAGAACGACAAACTCAAACCTCGCTCGATACTTGGTCAAAGCCTGGAGAAGGCAAGAAATCCGAACCAGGGTCAATTGTCCAGTCTAATAAATCCTCACTGGCCCCCTTAACTCTTACTGAAAAACACAAGAGCATCATATATCAAATGAAATCGCAGCCACAACTGAAGAACGTCCAGGCTACAGAAGATTGGAGGGATAAACGCCGTAAAGACGCAGAAGAAAAGAAGCAGCGTGATGCGGCAGCTATTGCGCAAGCAAAAGCTCTTCGAGCCCCAACGGCTTTGGTGAAGGGCGAGGGATCTGGTTTGAAGAACTTGAGCGGTGTAGCAGGTAAAGACCATGCGCCTGTTCGAAGTGAGATAATGGTGGGATCATCAGATGAAGATTCGGATGATGATGACGATGGTTCTGATACGAACCTACTTTTCACTAAAAGTCGGGAGGCTTCAAAGAAAGTCAAAGAGTATGAGGAAAGTAGGAAAAAGAACCTTTTACAAGTCACGGGTCCTGTACGAAAGACCAAGAAGGCGTATTCAAAGAAGGATCTCCGCGCCCGTTTGGAGCCAAATATGGATATCATATATCTCGAATTACTCAATTGGGAAATATTCCATGAGGGCGAGGATCCTCCAAGCAACAACGTTTGCAGGAAGATTGCGGACAGTTTCCTAGACCTCGGCCTGTATAAGGACACGTTCAAACCTTTGCTCATATCGGAAGTATGGCGGTCGCTGCTGACAGCCAAAGAGGAGAACAATTACAAACCCATTGAAATAAAGGTGTTAAATCGTTTATCCGTTGATAAATTTATGGAAATCAGCACTACTATGCCAATTTCTAATCAAAGAGACCTCATGGTGTACCAACAAGACATTGTACTCCTTTCCAAAGGCTCGAATCCACTTCAAGACAAGCAAGCGCCACACTGTCTAGCTCGTGTGTTCAGAACAACTCGTAAGCGCGATGCAGTGGAAGTCACATATAGAGTTAGCAGAGACATTCGCCCCGAGCTCTTAAACTGTTTTGTGCCCAACGGCAAGTTGTATACCCTCAAAATTACTGATATGACGACAACTCTACGAGAGTTTGCGGCCTTAAGTAGTCTCGAGTACTACGACTTATGTACTGAAATTCTGGAGGCAAAACCTTCTCCATTACAGAAATATTCCGATGAGAAGATCGCGTCAATTTCGGCCAAGTATAAGCTCAACAATGGGCAAGCCAAAGCTATTTTGTCCGCCAATGACAATGATGGTTTTACTTTGATTCAAGGGTATGTATTGAATCTTGTTTTGCTTCAGAGTACATTGCTAACAGTACCAGTCCTCCGGGATCAGGAAAAACTAAAACCATTGTCGCTATGGTGGGAGCTTTGCTCTCCCAAGCGCTTCAGCAACAAGCGCAACAGGTTGGCTTCAGGCCACAAGGCCAAAATGGCGGTTCAGGCCCCCAAGCTCAAGCACCGAAGAAAAAGCTACTTATTTGCGCCCCCAGTAATGCTGCTGTTGATGAACTGGTCCTCCGGTTGAAGGAGGGAATTTTGCCTCTGGTTGGTCCGCATCAGAAGATTAACGTCATACGTGTTGGGCGAAGTGATGCCATCAATTCTAGTGTCAAAGATGTCACGCTTGATGAACTGGTTAGGATCAAGCTCGAAGGAGATCAAGAATCCAAGAAGGGTCAATTGAGTGATCGGGAGAAGCTACACAAAGACGCAGGGCTTATCAAAGAGAGGCTCAATGTCTTAAGACCTGCAATGGATAAATGTCGCGCTGAAGGCAATAAAACTTCGGAACTCAAACTACAAAGGGAATTCGACGAGCTCAAGAGAAAGCAAGCACATATCGGGAACAAAATTGACGAAGATAAGGAAAGTGACAACAAGGTTCGGCAAAATGAGATCAGCAGACGTCATTTTACGCAGGAGATTATCGATGGCGCCCATGTTCTATGTGCTACACTCAGTGGATCTGGACACGATTTTCTACGAAATGTTAATGTTGAGTTCGAGACGGTCATTATTGATGAAGCCGCTCAGTGTATTGAACTCAGTGCCCTGATACCTCTTAAGTACGGTGCGACGAAGTGTATCTTGGTTGGAGATCCTGAGCAACTACCTCCAACGGTTCTCTCGCGATTGGCGAAAAGCTATGGCTACGAACAGAGTCTTTTCGTCCGAATGCAGCGCAACCATCCTAGTGATGTACACCTACTTGATACTCAGTATCGTATGCATCCTGAGATTAGTCGATTCCCAAGCCAACAGTTTTACCAAAGTCGTCTCATTGACGGTGAGGGAATGGCACAGTTGCGGGTTCAGCCTTGGCACGCAAGCTCGATTCTTGGGCCTTATCGGTTCTTTGATGTTGTGGGTGTTCAAAGCAGAGAGACTAAAGGACATTCTCTCATCAACGTGCCTGAGTTGAATGCCGCTATTCAGCTCTATCAACGACTTAAGACAGATTACAGATCTTATGATTTCAAAGGCAAAATCGGTATCATCACAACCTACAAAGCTCAATTGAACGAGCTTAAGCGACGTTTTGGGACGAAATTCGGAGATGGCATCTTCGAAGAGATTGAATTCAATACGACTGATGCTTTTCAAGGACGGGAGCGAGAGATCATCATATTTTCTTGTGTTCGTGCCAAAGCTTCAGGAGGTATAGGATTCTTGAACGATATCCGACGTATGAACGTCGGTCTGACTAGAGCCAAATCGTCGTTATGGGTTCTGGGAGACTCTAGAGCATTGGAGCAAGGTGAATTTTGGAATAAGCTTATACATGACGCCAAAAGTCGTAGCAGATATACGAGCGGTGATATTATGGGACTGCTGTCGAGGCCAACGTCTAAGGACGCACCGGCCATAGAGTATTCAAACCCATCGTCGGTTCTCAATGGCAATAACTCTAGGCGACCATCTGAGAAGAGCGACAGTGATATTGACATGACGGATGCGCCACAAAATCAAAGTTCTCGAGGTTCAACATCAGGCAGCAGTGGCACAACACCGGTGGATGGCCATGGTAGGATGACACCAACCAACGCTGAAACGGGTGAGCAGAGAAAAAGGCCGAGGGAACAAGAACTTCAAAGAGAAAATATTCCGACGAAAAAGAAGAAGGTGAGTTGACGAAAGACTAGCTTAGTGCCAGTCGTAATCTGTCGCAGCATCTGTTTGTATGGCCCTTTGTTAACCTCCACAGACACAACCCCCAGAAGTAAACCCTGCGCCACCAGCCTCTGCACTACTCAACAGCGGGTCGGCCGAGGTTATGCGCAGTGCCCAAAAAATAGATCTGGAAGCAGCACTTCAAGCACAGCAAGTAAGCAAAGCTGCTGCTGCTGCGGCGCGTACACCAAAACCTAATCTACCACCGCCTCCGCGCAGAAAGGCGCCGGCGGATCCCTTTATTCAGCGTAAACCACCTAAAAGAAAGTAGGGGGGAGCATGGATTTATTTATTGATTTATTTTTAAAGGTTGCACAACAAAATATTAGCATGGCGAACGGCGCACATGTGAGACAAGTGTATGGGGATCATCTTATTTATTAGTAGATCTGATAGATCTTAGTTAGTTGGTAGAAAAATAGTTGCATCTTGGTGATTGTGACAGCTTAAACACTCGCCTCGAAGAGTCAAAATGGCGAGAGCTTAAACTAATCTAAGTCGATTCAATCCATCATAATAACATCAGCAATTGAATGGCTTGATTTTTGGTAGCCACTCACCATCGGCACCCCCTCCCCCCCCCCCTGCACCGGCTCGTTCCCGTATGTCTCACAATTTCCTAGGTCTCACGCATTGCACTCTCTGGTCATAATTGAAGTTTCATATTTTTGCTTTGTCCATTGTGGTTCAGTCTTCTCCGCCATAAGCTAGCACGGACAACGCAAAGTTGCTTGGGGATTCTTTGGCGCACTTGTTGTCGTAGATCAAATCAAGCCTTGCCTTCTCGGATATTTTTCAGACTCCACTACTGTACACTAGAACTTGTACTAAAAGTTTAGTGGACATTTGTTTTCAGAACCTTAGATGAGAAAATTGATCAATTAAAAAACTATTGAGTGATAGAGTTGTGTGTAAATTGAGAAATGATATAATATTCAGTATGGTTGGTAGGTTGTAAAAAGAATGCATTCTTTTAATTTATACGGTGCGTATTTCAGATCACAACCGAAGAAGGATGTATGGTGTAGTAACACAACAAGGGAGGATGGCGATATCACATATGCCATGCAAGTTGCAACGCCCCTTAACCCCCGTTATCATAAAATCAATTATTCGTCATCATTCGAAGCTAGAAGTCTCTGTCAGGAGAAATCCACCCATGACTGAGTGGCAACACTGGCAAGATCTCATCGATCTACTTTTAGTGCCGCGTTACTGCACCTGCCACTGAGTAGCCAATACAATGAAAAGCCATTAGGCCTCCGCTAACCTCGAAATGTTCAAAGACGATTCAGCCAGCGTCCGCGCAACCACGGGTGCAGGGAAATGCATTCTCCTTACATGGCGTTACTGAGGTAGATCGGGGCATTCGGCTTCCATCTCCAAATTGGTACAGACATAAGAATACTGAGCTCTTTCCCTGACAACTTCAACTGAGATTTGATTTCCTTTCTTACATTTTGATGAATTCATCCGTGATTTCGGAGAGTGCTGCACCAACAAATATCGATTCGTTTAGAGCTTTAGAACAAGCTATGTTGGTGTAACGAGCTCTTGGTAGGTCCTCTTCAAGCTAAGTCTTTCCGGTTGCGGGAACTCACAGATTCGGTCTAACATGACATTTACTGTAGACAACTATCAAGATGGAATCAACACTCGGCAGTAGAACCCCACCACCACGTTTGGTGGATATCAAATTCTCAAGACCTCAGTCTATGGTAACGCCATCATCTATCAATCCTACACTAGTATCGCGCCGCCGCACGAGCAGGTCTCATCATCATGGCACGGTTGATACTGTCCCAGAGTTGAGGAGGTTTAACACTTCGGGTACCAAATCAAGCATGGGAACGAGACCCCGCCATACAACCAGTCAAAGTTATGGGTCTTTGGATACGATATCACCGCGACGTGAGAGAGAAACCATGAAAGATTTATCTGACTTTCTCACGGCATACGATCCACCGGCGCATAATCTAGTCGCTCCTCCACAAACCAGTCCACGGAAGAGGTTCAGTCTCCTTCGTAGGAAGCAGAAGAAAGAGCCAAAGTCCAATCAGTTCTTGAGACTTCCCGATACCGCAATTTCCGCTAAAACTCGTCAGGGTGTGAAATATATAGCAATTTCGATACCATTAGAGCACGATTACCTGGGAAGATTACCGACGCTTCCTGAGTCTGTTTCTCAATCAAAACGTCCTTTGATACTTGACAGGGGACCTGTTATCGTTCACAAACCAGTTTACAACGTTGGGGAGTCTATCACACCTCCGCCTGGTCTTCCTATGTTCGAGAGGAAAGAATCTTATTCCAAGAAAAGTACTTGCGGACCTGGCACTATGACCAAAGTGATAACGAAACCAGGATCTGAGGAGGTCATTCTACAAAATGGATATATTCAACGAACTAGTCAGGTATATACACCTATCGAAAGTATTTATCATGATGCATCAGAGACACGACCCATATCTAATCCATCAAAAGGGACTACCTCTTCTGGCCCCCCATTCAAAGTAACACTGGTAGATGATTGTCGAGCAAACTCCCTCAATTCCGTCAGCCGCCCTGTTTTATGGAGACATGAATCGGATGGACCTTTGAGAGTAGTAAACAGGACACCCTCTCCCGATATCAAACCCACCTATCAAAGCCATAGAGTAATAAAATCGATATCAACTGTTCACAGTGTCGCAACCACCGGAACAGGTATTAGACAGTCTCTAAAGTCTACACTAGGGAGTGTCAATACAAATTCATCAGCCGCGCCAGCTGTATTTGGTACCGCTGAAACGATCGACCTTCAGAGTTTTATGGGGACTATACCAGGGGCTTTCCTCGCTTCACCTCAAAGTGAGAAAATGGTGCAATTTCGGGCGGCTAACCTAGGAGAGCCGAAAAATGCTCCTGCGATTCAAGCTACTAGTCTAATAACACCTAAGTCACCCAAAAGTCCACAAGTTGGCAGTAATGAGAAAAAAGCAGATCAAGCAGCACAAATGAGTCGTCGCGAAAAAGTGCGAGCAAAGAAGGAAAGAGACGTGGCTTCACTTCGCTCGAAGAATTCTGATCTGAACAAATCAAGTTCGAATAGTATATCTACCCAGTCCATCCCAGATTCGTCTCCAACTGCGGCCGGAATTTCTTGTCTCTCAAACCCAAGCATAAAATCTGCTAAACTTCCAGCTCGATCATCAAACCGTCTCTCAAAAAAAGCCGCCGTTCTATCGACATCAAACATAATGCTAGTAGCTGATCTTCCGCCATTCATCAGTCATGTTCACCAATCTGACCTCAACCTCCCTCACAATCTTCCTCGTCCTCTTTCCCCAGCTTCATCAATTCCATCGCCATCACGTCTTCCTCGCCCTAAATTCATTCCAACCAAACCTCTCCACCGCCTCGATAATGGGAAATCTGTTTATGTGCATCATTCTACCCAAACTCGGCACCCCAATTCCATAATCTCAGCCCATAGCCATACCTCAATGTCTCCTATCTCTCAATGGCAAAAATCACATCGTACACGGCCAAATAGCGAACCCTTCGCATATCCTCGACTAGAAAATTCGTCCGATAATTATGATCCACATGGTTTGGATATGGATAGGGATCTCAGGAGGAAAAGGGAAACGAGTATGGGGATGGGAAGCCCGAGGGAAAGGGAATTGGATGTTAGATTGAGGATCATCGAAAGGGATACGGATGTACTTTTGAGGACGCTGGGGGAGATTGCGAGGAGTTTTGATAATTTGGTCCCACTAACCAGGATGAGCTTTGGAAGGGACTCTGAGCTTAGAGATGGTGTTGGGAGAGGTACGAGATCGAGTGTTATAGGTGGGGTTGCTGGTGAAGGGGGTAATGGTAAGAAGAGGGGTGAGAGGGGTGAGGGGAGTAATAGGAAGAGAGCAGCTACGACGGGGATGGGGATGGAGAATAGGAATGTAAATATGGATATGGTGATGAGAGATGTTCAGTTGGCGGCTCCGAAGATCGATGAGGAGAGTGTGGTGGTGGGAGAGGAGGATATTCATGGAGATAATGACAGGGATAGAGCTTTTGTCTAATGATGAGGGTGGGAAGCTGAGGACTTTCGGTTTTTGGATAGGATGGAAGAGCTCTAGATAAATTTGGTTATTTATATGTGGGATTTGGGAGGTGGGGAGTTTGAAATTCAAGGGGAAGATATCATACTGTTGGCTACAGCTACTGTGTTTTTAGAACAATTGCAATTCTATGAACTTTAATACACCTTCTGTTCGTCTACTCACAGTCCAGTAAACACGTTTCACCCTCGAAATTAGTTCGAGGAATGTCCAGTTCAATGCTACTCTCTGCTCATGATCAAAGAACTTTCACTGCTTCCTTTCCAAAATCCTACACATCATATACTGTTACACCTATATGATATGTGACTATACGGAAACTCTAAGCTGTCTACTCCTTAGTTGTCCTCGCTACAGGTTTTACACATCTGGACAGTGGGTACCCATTTCCATATTATTACTTTATGTTACTACTTGTAAGCCACCTACCTCGTATCTCACCACAACCACACTGGAAAATCAAATTCTTGGTCTATCACCGGTCTATCCATTGGTGATAGAGCATCTCCACCAAACACCCTCGAATCCTCTCGAACCAACCCCACATGTGGCGAGACTCTCCGGACTGGTAAAACCTTCTTCAGACTTGACGTTTTTTCTTTGCATACTGCAGGATTCGCCTCAGATAGATTGGATGACTATTTATAAGGACTTTGCAAGTCTTAGCAACCAAGTTTCGCTTGGGAAGAATGATTGGAAGGGTATTGGAGAAGGGGATGAAATGGGATGGGATGATGTGGTACGATACGATTATCAGGAGAGGAGAGTAGGCTCTGGGTGATGTGAATGGTGATACTACGGAATATGGGGGAGGGAGTTAGGGAGGAAGTTGGAGACTGTGCGAATAGCCTCAAAGACTTTCAAATAGTTGAGAGGTCTTGAGATAATACCAGGGTCCGCTTGAGGGAGGAAGAATATGCAACGAATGTCTTTCTTGTAGGGTGAATCGTAACAGTAATCGTTGGGTATGACGATTCATTCGAGACTGACATACTGCCAAGAGTGGTCAGATCAGCATGTTCATCCAGGAATTCATTCCACAATCACTTCACATTGACGGAAAAACAATCAAAGAGAAAGTTATAGTGTATAGTGTAGTGTATCATAATCATTAAACCTCTACTCCTATCATCTTCGATATATGCAAGCGTGCAAGCGCGTGCGCGAGCAATAAACCATCCATGATCTACACCCCCTCACTCGCCAATATTAATAAGAGAAAAGAAATCGGGTATCGAATCGAATCGAATCGGGAAAAAAAACAAAATGCTCTCCTCTCTCTATCCTGCACCGATCTGCTCCACCCATCCAACATTCTTCAAGCATCAGGAAGCAGACTCGCAAACTCGCATCTCGCATCCGCTTCTCCAACTTCCTCCGCTATCTCTCCATAAAGGGTATTGTAACGATAGAGAGACACTAGAGTAGACATGATCAGAGCAACCCCTCGCGCGAAGGCAAGGGACCACTCTAAACAGTACTAGTGGTTCCTCTGCCCCTTCTCCTACCACCGCCCCTACCGCATGTCAAGCAGGAGATGATTACATCGAAGAAGGCGACGATGGCGTGAATGATTCCGGTGAGGATTGCTCCGATTCCGTTTACGACGGCCCTGAGATGTATGTTAGAATTTGTTGTTGTTGGCGTATGAAGCTCCCCAAATTGGATGGGTAAGGTGAGGGCGATGACTTACATGAGACCTGCACCGATGGCGCGGAACATGCCTGTGATCTGTTGATGGTATTAGCTTTTGTTCTTTTTGTTGATTCTTCTTGTTTCATGTCTTTGAATATGAGATGATCGAGCAGATCTAATTCAATGCAACGAAAAGTTGCGAGAAATGGAGGAGGGAAGGACATACACAAGAGACAACGGCTCCCATTTTGATTTATTTGTACTGAGTAGTAACTTTGTGTGTGGTATAGGTGGATGGATTGTTGTGATAGAATCGATCAATTGATTGTAATGTATATTGCGTTGTATTGTGTATTGTATTTTATGTATGTGTATTTTGATATAGAGAGGTATAGAAGGAAAAGCAGAAATTGAAATCAACGAGAATATAATGTTCCCTATATATTCATTTCCCGACTTACCTCTGATATTTGTGTGACGTCATAATCTTGAATACAAACAACAGATTTTCTTTATTCACAACTTTCACCACTTTTCCATTTCCATTCGTATCTGCTTCTTTCCTTCTCTCTGCCAAGAAAATAAATTTCATCTCCAACGCTTCAATATTAATATCACTGGTCATTTAATTGTTTATATCACATTTAGACTTAAATAAAAAACAAGGCATGGCGCGTTCTCAATTGCCGTTTTAGGTACCTAGTAAGCAATGGCGTTAATTATGGGGATTTAGTTCCCGCTTTAAGGCCTAGTGCAGTAATTGTGGCGCGTGTGATCGATCGATGACAAGCCACAATGTGGCGTTGGGCTCTGATGTTCGTACATCTGCTACTGTGATTTTCTTTTCATTATCGTGTTTGATTCATCTTATTGGTATTCTTTTTCCGAATGCGGAAGGATCTATTATGACGTAACTTCCCCAGGCCTGTTTGCTTATTATCTGTGCCTTTCTATATATATTAAATTAATAATAATAATATATAATATACCACTTAGCCAAGCTAGCCAACAAGGCCAATATCAGTGCAGCAAGGTCACAGTCCATGTTGTCTTCCCCTTCCCCCATCCAGAGAAAAAAGAAACAAGAAAAAGAAAGACTCAGAGCAAGAGCAAGAAAATGGATATTGAAAAGTTCACGGATCCACACACTGGTTATTGTAATTCGTGAATCATGATGCGGAGAGATCATAAGCTGTCCCTCCTGGCTAAGTAAATTTTCCTGTACTGTACCAACAAACACTTGAATAATTTACATACAATACGAAATATCTAGCTGTACAAAACCTCTCCCTTCAAATGTTGTTTTTCAGATCCGTTGATAAAGAACATTCCTGTCACCTACACATATATCATATATGTGTGGTTACGTCTCGATATATGAACTTATGAGACATTCTAAATCCTTCATGCATTTCAAAACTCCTGCTTCGAGATACAAAGTGGCACTACATACATATGACATGGTGACAGTGACAGTCGCTCCGTATTACTCTGCTCTACTAGACATTTTGAATCGAGGAAGGCGGTAGGAGATTCGAAACATAAGTCAGTGTGTTTTGAGCTCGGGGGTTCAAGGCGCTAGTGGTCTGGTGGTCTGGAAGCGCTGATGCTCAGGTTGAGATTATCGAGCATTCATCAATACTCATCATATTTGATTTTCATTATGGTAGATGATTACCAACCTTTATATCTAGACTGTCTAACTCCTTCGTGTCACTCCAAACTTAGCCAAATCATTCAAAGTACACTCTTGTTAAAGAATTGATAAATCTGCCGTCCAGCTTCCTTCCCAACCATCGGCTCCAACTCCTCCAGACTCGCATTAGCAACCTCCTTGATACTCCCTAAATCAGATACTAAATTACCCAGATTCTTCCCTGTGACCCCGGCTACTACTCTCAGCATGTCCTGAGGTTCGCGATTAAAGGCTTGATCCTCCGCACTTGCTCCACCTTCGAGTCCAATCCTGACTGCGTGTATGGGATCTGGCTCAGGCTCCTGTGTTTTGAGGCTTTCGAATATTTCGGCGGTTTGATATGGACTGGAACTCCAGATTATGCGGAGTTTGGGGAATGCGAGGGTGAGGAGTACGAGTTTCGATTGAAGATCGGATGACGCGTTTCCCGCTGATACGGATGATAAAGAGCCTGAGAGATCTGCGAAGGGTTCGAGAGTGAAAGATTTGCCTTGATCGAATTCAATGAGTAGCATTGGCGACTTGTAATGTTCAAGCATAGTTTCGGCTTGATTGTACAGGCGGCCATCTTTAAACGACGAGATTAAATCTCTGATCGATTTGCGCTCCACACAGATACTGGGGGAGAGAACATAGTCTCCGACGGTAAGCATACATGGTACTACGACTATGTTACGACCGTGAAGTAGGGATGGGAGGGAGGACCGAAATTCTCGGACATCAACTACCACCCGTGGTGGCTGGGCAGTAGCTGCCAGACGTCCTCCACCCGCAATACGGGTATTTATTGTACGGAGAAATGCATCTTGTGGATCTTCGATACCATGCGCATCGAGAGTCAGCACAACAGACATATTGGCCTTTTCCTTGATAAGTTTGGTGAAGGCATCTTTTTCTCGTCGAGTAGATGACAGGTAGCGTTGTTCCTCCACGGACCCACCATAATATAGGAAGTATACTCGGACGTTTCGATCATTGTGTGAGGAGCGATAAACCTCCACTCGACGAACAAAAGATGTATCGGGTTCATACATGACAATATACCGTGGTTTCACCTCTTCGAGAATATGCTCATCCAAATCCCCGTCATATGCGTGGACTACTATGAGGTCCTTCATCTCATAAAGCTGATAATAATCTTCCATATCATCTAGAGGATCTGCGATGACTTCTTCTTTTTGTAATGCCTCCATTTCCGTGGGCTTTATCTCCGACATCAGCTCAGCAACCTCGAGCGGCTTATCTTCTGCGGCTTGTAGACTTCCATTTGTAGCACGTGTCGATCCCGAGCTCGAGGCACCGCCTCTTACTCTCCTCCTTTTGTTTGCCGGAGCTCTACCTCGGGAGCTGTTCGTAACACTGTTTGTGTTGCTAGTACCGTTTAGTGCATTTTGATTCTCACTAAAAAGAGTCGCGCTAATTTTGGCGAACTTCTTCTTCCACTCTAAGTAGCTCCGCAATTTCCGTCTCATCATGATTTCCGCCGATGGCTCCTGTTCTTCGTCATCATACTCGTCTGTCTCTGGACGAGCATGCATACTTTGAAGATATTCTCGCAGCTGCCAACATTGAGCTGAGTCCGTACACATGATCAAGATTGTACCATTCGAATCATCTAGTGGGACGGGGTTAAAATAAAGTTCCCGATCAATCTCATCTAGCACTTCAGCTAGTACTGCCCATTTTGGCTGTTCCTCTAGCACTGGCTTCAGAGAATCAATATCTTCCGTTCGTGCAGCCTTGCCTTTGTACACTCGTCTCTTTGCAGTATCAAATATGGTATGTGCTGCGTCAAGGAATAGCCAGGGAGATTGATTATGTCTCATAGATCCTGGAGGAGGCTGATGTGCAGCAAGAATCATATCCAAATGACGATTGAATGAGACCGCATCATATGTTAGTAGAGAATGTAGCATCCCTCTTAGGACAGTCAAATCATTGACGATCTGCTTCGTCTTCCAACTGACTCGATGCCATACTGGATCAAGCTGTCTTCGAATGACCATATCAAACTGTTTGTGCAGAGCACTATCCACACTCCAATCGTCCATATCTAACCCAGAGTTCGATTTCTTCAGTTCTCCAACACTGACCTCGACGCATTCCATTATGGAACTTTGAATGTCTCGCATTGATTCAGACATAGACACTTCAAGTTCGATAACCTCGGCCTTTTTCATACCTTCTAATGCTTGAGCAACATTTACATGAAATCTAGGCCATATTGAGACGTTTCGTAGAAATAGATTTCGCATAATAGTCGATAGTGGTGAGAATCCAGTCGCAAATGGTTCTGGATTGTCCGAAAATGCCTTGAGAAATCCAGCCTTATTTTTCTGACGGTAAATCCGAAGTATGAAGGCCTCTAGTGATGTAGCTACGACTTTATCTGCATGTAGGATTACCACGCCCGTGATGGTCGCTGGGTCCAATAGGCTGGTCAAAAGATCGACGACAAGAATCCGAGATGTGATGCTAAAAATTCCACCTTGTGCATACATTTTTTCTCTTGTGCCGACACTCATGAGATCCGTATTGACTACAGAGAGACCCCGAGCTTTAGGAGCCATGCTGATGGCAGCATGCTCCGCCAATGCCTCTCCGATCCATCCATTCTCTCGATCATCTGCACTAACTAGTATTATAAGGTTATTTCCGGCTGCATCATATGAATGGAGGAGGTTCGTGACAAGTCTTAGGAGGCCGAGACCACGAGCAAGAATGACAAGTTGATCCTTCTGCCGAAGCTCTTGGAATATTTCTTGTTGATATTTCTGCAGGATTTATTAGCATGCCGTTCCCCAAAAGACAGGTTGGCCAATTTACCAATGGAAGTGACAGCTTCACGGGTTGCTGTTCCACGTTTGCGGAAGACATTTTGGAGGATCATGGCGCGTTGACCATCATTTGATCATTTGAAGGTTGACGCGAACCACACACGATGTCAGAAGTAAGGTTTCAGTAGCACCTAAGGTTACCTAGGTATATATCGTTTCTCTGCATCTACCCACTTCAAGATATCAGATGAATTACTCTAAAATAATAAGCATCTAAAATAGCAGACTAGTTCAATCCTTGAAAATGTTACATATAATAGGCGGCATGAGTACCGGTACACAAGGAAACGGAAAGCCAGAGCCTTGTTCTGTGGTCTGTCTTCGAACTTACACCTACGTCATGAGGGGCAATACCGGTATTTACTCATATATGAAGTAGATAATCAAATAATCCTATTTGATTTATTCTCCATCTTCAAATAACAATCTGAGATTTACACACTACGAATCTTCTCACAAAATCAACTGAATCATTAAATAAGAATCCTACATCATGCCTGCCGGTCCAGACGAAACTTACCACCATAAAGCGGGTGAAGCAACTGAGCACGTCATGAAGAACTCATCCTCAAAGACCGATAACAATGCCAGCGATCACCCTCTTCACAATCAAGGCGAAGTGAAGGGAGAGAAGGTTCAATTCCGTCATCACGAGGCAAACCCAGGTCCTGTTATCCCCAACAGCATGCCAGAGCAAGAGGGATCAAAGGCGGATCGTGAAGCAAAGACTGCTGCTTTGAACAAGTAAAGCTCTTTGGTATGCCTATTCAATGCGTGCCTGATAAACTAAACTGACGATAGACTTTGAGGACATTACACGAATTGTATGATCATTCCGAACGAAATGTAGTAATGAAGGGAGGGAGGATTGATGGCTGGCGTTGGAAGTTAAATATTAAATAGTCAAGGAAATGGAAGACGGGGCACACATTGTATTTTTTTTTTGGCAAGGACGATATCATGAAATGAAACTTCTGTCATTCTCGAACAACATGTCGGATGTGTGTCTGAATATGTTGTGCACATTGATTGATGTACCCATGTATAGGTAATATTTGACCCCCTTTTATCTTTCATTGGAAGAAGAGCTGGGGCTGGGCTGGGGCTGAGTTGGGGGGGTTAGCGGGTAAGAAGGAAATGTATTCCTTTCTTTGAGATTCGGAACATTTTGTGGCTTTGCCCTAGCTAGTGGCTGAATTGCTTGGCATCCATTATGGCAGCGTTACTCACATAATTAAAGCACATACTCATACACATCTGTGCCCAACTTGACATTGACCTTTTGAATTATTGTGAATGAGCACATAACCACTGTGGATTATAGCTATCTAAAAGGACCAGTATCATTCGCTCTACTTCTTGGTCCAGTTCTATCTTCAAGTCATTGCGATAGGAAACGCATAATCATCCCAATGCGTGTGAGAAGTGCGAGGAGTGCGACCAACACGAGAGCAATATCCCACACGATCGAACCTTGTTTCCACAAATCGTATGATATCACAAACAACAGGAGCAGGATAGATACAACATAGGGCCGAAAAGTCTACCAAGGCCGACGAATTGTCGCTAAACCTACAAAATGCCTTCCATATTGTCAGACGATGATAAAGAGACGGTCAAACGCATGGTACCAAAGGCCTCGAACAAAATCCAGGCTGTAGCGGTGGCCCGTCTATATATTGCTTATCCCGATCGTCACAAATGGACATACACTGGTCTACAAGGAGCGGCAGTACTTGCGAATGATCTTGTTGGAAATACTTACTGGATAAAACTCGTCGATGTCTCAGTTCGTGGTTCCCCCTCTATGCTAGCCGTGGTACCCTATTGTTCAAAAGCTAATTTCATATACTATAGTCTGCAAACAGAGGTGTTATATGGGATCAAGAGATATATGATAGCTGGTCCTATAATCAGGATAGAACGTTCTTTCATACCTTCGAAACCGAAGAATGTTTGGCTGGATTGTCCTTCGTGGATGAGAAGGAAGCTAAAACCTTCATGAAAAAGATGAATGATCGGGAAAAGAATGCTAGTAAAGCTACGAAGGCCAATCCATTTGGGGGTGCTGCTCCAGTGCACAAACACAGTCTTCTTGGCGGGTTCTTTGGCGGACACCGACATTCCTCCGCTCCATCGATACAACCTACTCCTCCCGATTCTCCTAGCTATGTGCTTCCACCATCACAGCCGGCGCATCCGGCGCATTTGGCGCAAAACCACAGGCATTCGGGTGGGAGCTTCAAGTCGGGACAGCCTGAATATGCAGCTTTGGAGGCGATTGATCCTCATTGGCGAGAAACATGGGGCGAGGATCTGAGGCAAATGGGCATCACGGACGATATGATTAGGGACAATCAGGACTTCATTGCAGATTATATTCGGGAGCAGCAAGCTCAACAAGGCATAACACCCACACCCAGTGGCATCGAGAATCAAAGGAATAAGGCCCCTCCTCCACCACCTCCTCCTGCGGCACCTCGAACACGCTCCGATAGCCCTCAAAATTACACGGCTGGTCGAGGGCGAGGGGCACCGCCTGCACCTCCTGCCCCTCGGCGATCTAAAGCAGATGTTCCTCGAGAACCAACACCACCAAGAGAGCCTTCACCACCCAGGGGACCTCCTCCCCCTAGATTTGCAGCTCCGCCACCATTCGCGGATGCTGGCAAATTTGCGCATACCAATAACAAAGCACCCTCTCGAGCACATGCTCTTTCCAATCCAGGGCCACCTCCACCACCAAGGCCTGCAAAAACACCCATCGAGGAGTACGAACCAGGGGAATCAGGTTCGAAATTTGGAGTCCCTCCCCCTTTCACGGGGACAAGAACGACAGCACCACCCCCTACACCACAACGAGGCCCCGTTCCACCCCCGCCTCCAAGAGATATCCACCAATCAAGTAGCGCCCATGCCACACCACCTGCACATATTCCTCCTCCACCTTTACCGCCAAAAACTCCAGCATCTCCGAGTGCACCCCCCTTACTTCCTATTTCTACTCGTCCGGTACCTTTACCTCCAAGAGATACCGCACCCCCCCAACCTCCTTTGCCTCAAATGAGTGCTCCTCCTCCGCCTCTACCACAATCAGCGGCTCCTCCTATACCATCATCTGCTGCTCCCCCACCACCCCCTGGACCACCGCCTTCATTCGGGGGACCACCTCCTCCTCCTCCTCCTCCTCCTCCTCCTCCACCACCTGGACAAAGTCGCGATTCTGGCTATGCACCAGGTGCTCCAGCACCGCCTAAGCCTGCTGGTGAACATGCAGATCTATTGGCAAACATTCAAAAGGCCGGTGGTATTGGAGCCCTCAAGAAGGTTGACCGATCACAAATTAGAGACAGAAGTGCAGCTACAGTTCCAGGAGATACTGGACCTGCAGGCAGTGGACTTCCTCCAGCCGGTGCGTCTTCGGGGGGCGGAGGAGGCTTAGCAGATGCTTTGGCAGCTGCTTTGAACAAGAGGAAGCAGAAAGTTAGCGCTAGTGGTAAGTACATTTCCGTATTCTTGAACTTCAACGTATCTTATTAACGTTTTGATCAGATGACGAAGCGGAAGATGATGATTGGTAGGGGGTGTTGGTGTGATGGGTTGTTTTCTCTGGAAGGAAGAAAATGATAACAAAAGGGATTGAAGTTTGGCGTATATTGAGCGATTGCCAAGTTTGGGAAGATATTCGGTCAAAGCTCTAGGGCTCAAAATTGGCTGCTGCAGGACAACATGAATGACATAGAAAGAAAGCATCTCAATCGTGAAGGGATTGAGTCAAATCAATCAAGAACATCAAAAAGTGAAGTATGAAGAATCCAGTACATTGTGCATCTAAATGGAATATATGCAATCACAATTCGAGTCACAAAACACTGATAGGATATGTTTATACTTAGAAAATTATTTTGTTATTCGGATAGCCTTCAGTCTATGTCACGCAAAATAAGAATAAAAGTCCTGGTCAATACATGTATAACGTCTCTCCCACTATACACATATCGCCAATCGAATGAAGCACTAGAAGGAAAAATGCCTGTCGAGGTTCTCGGGATCCAGCGAGTGAAGTAATGACCAAATCCAACGAGATTGAGAGAGAAGACAGTCTTTCTTTCCATCCCCCTAACCACCATTATCAACCTTTGTGGAGGGGACCACATCAATCCCCCAAGAATTTAAATATCATCAATATCAATCTCCTTGCCCTTTCCGCCTTCGGCAGCGTCACCAGACTCACTACCACTGTCTCTATCATCATCAAACTCGAAGTTGCAATCTCCATCCTCGCCTTGTCCATAAGTATCGGTCTCGTTGATCTTTGCGCTCTCGGGTAGTTCTCCGTAGGCTTTTAAACTTCTGGCTTCGTCGGCACTGTATTTTAAGATGACGTCTCCCTTCTCGTCTTGGTAATCACGGAGGGAGAGGAGAATAATGTCGCCTTGGTTGATCCAGACCTTCTTGCGGAGCTTTCCTCGAATATGCGCAAGACGTCTTGTTCCGTCAAAGCAGAGGGCTTCGAGACGACCATTTCCGAGCATCTTGATGACTTGGGCATATTCTGTGAATGGTTAGTTAGTGGGTTAGATATGTAGTGAGAGCGCTTGAATATGGAGCGGAAAGATGAGATAGAGACAGAAGAGTAGCTGCGAGGAGTAGGGAGTATATACCTTGGCCTTCTTCCTTGAAGGTTAATTCACGCTTCTCGTTGTCGTTCTCGTTCTTTCCACGACGCCTGTTCTTTCCTCCCTGTTTTTTGCAATCGTGTCAGCCCGGATCAAGACAGTGGGGTGAAATATTTCAAACAAAAAAATGCGACGGAGTCTTACCTTTCCCTTATTCTTAGGCATATTTGCTGTTGTTTTACTTCACGGTTTTATTTCTTGGGTCCTACTTTGGAAAAGGTTGTGGTTTGTGATGTACCGGTAGTTTTTTGATGGAGAGAGAAGAAGAGGCGATGTTAAGTACCAGATAATAATTTATTTTTGGTCTGGAGTAATTAGTGTCATAGTACCTAGTGGTGGGGTCTAAGGTACCGCGCTAAAGAAGTCCGGTCTGACCTGATAATATAATTCGCCTTGTTATTTGTTATGGCTCCTCTGTTATTGATCGAGAACATTAATTCACCACTTTTTCGAAATCATTGTCTACCATTCCAAAAATAGAGAACAATATGATTTGGGTAACGAAGTGATTGTCACGATAACTACCTTCGCCTTAAAGTCACCCAATCCTTCAAAATGGCTTTAAGAACTGCAATTGCTGTGGAAGCTAGGTTCTCGGCAATGAGACGCACTGGTGAACTCATAACAGCAGATGCTCTAAGTTATGGATCAATGAAAGGCATCAATGGGAATGATCAGTGTTTTTCCTACAAATTGGCTTCTAGCCACGCCTATAGCTCCATGCAAGCTCCAGCAGTATCAAAAGCCCACCATTCAGAACATTATCGCATCAAACACCTTCTGGTCAACAGAACCTCCCCTTTATGGATATCCGTTTTTTGTGCGAAGCTCAATGGGGGGAATAAACGAGTTATACGAACCCATATGGTACGGAGGATCAGAACTGCGATTACAGTGGCCTTGAAGAAGCATGGTTATGATTTTTCTGGAAAGAGGGTATCTGCCGGCGTAGAGAAGGTTGGTACGGATGAGGATCTGTTTGGCACGATGATAATATCTGCCAAGGAAGCGGCTTTGACTGCTAAGATGGATGTCCTAGAAAAACAAGCGGAGGTGGCTGTGGGCACGATGTTACGGATGTCGGGACAGAAGTCTAAAATGAATTTACATCAGAATTTCCAACGACCGGGCAAGGGATCAAATGAAATAAGAAGAACCCATGTGGGAAATAAGATGAGGGGAAGTGAGGAGGGTAGTAGGAAGAAAAATCACAACAAGCACAAGGTATTCGGTGGAAATGTCTTCAATTGATATAAAATGAAATACTCGAGTAATGTATGAATTAAGAACTACTCGGGTATACCGTAAAACTAAAGGCTTCATTCAAGACCACACAAACATAAAAGGATTGTTTGAAGTTGTCTGATTGCTCAAATAGATGTTTTATATACCTAGGTAATTATACCTGAGTACACTTGTATACTGTTTTGTCTTTGCGGCTACTAAAACTCAGCCAATTAGCGTTGTCTGAACAAACGGTTGAAGCTCTTTCCAGGCTAACCTCCACGTTTGGAAGTTCGCAATCGCGAAGCTGTCGCAACCTCGCAACCTCGCAACCTCACAACATCGCAACGTAACTTACCTTGTAGTCAGTCTTCCAATACCTTTGACACCTGAATTAAAAAAGGCCTTTTACCAATGTTAATCTCACTCACCGTGGGTAAAGTCGATGCCGGAGTGGCCGTCTTATTGACTCAAGATAAACGACTCGTAAGTTATTCTTTTCATACACTGTACTGTATGTACTGTACATACATACAACATGTCCATTGCACATGCCACCCACCATAACTAACAACGACACTCCACATAGATTGAATTCCCATCTATTCTCCTCCCACCCAATATCTCCTCCGGTAGTATCGTCGACATCACCGTTGCACGAAACCTCGTCTCGGAAGAAAAATCTCAAAAGTCATTCGTCGCTCTCCAAGATTCTATCTTCAATTCATTTGGTGCATCAGAACCCTCTGCACCGGTCCTTCGTTGTCGCAATGCTACTCAGACTTCCGTCGTTCTAGAGTGGGATCCTATTGATCTGGCAACCGCAGATGTCATCTCTCTCTCACTCTTCCGCAATGGACAAAAAGCTGGCAATATACCAAGGCCGAGTCAGATGCTGAGTACGAAAATTAGTGGTTTGGCGGTTGATACGGAATACACGTTTCATTTGGTACTTAGAACGAGTGCGGGGACTTTTAGTAGTGAGAAGGTGGTTGTGAAGACGCATAAAATGACGGATTTGAGTGGTATTACGATTACGCCTGGTATTCTACCTGCTGCATTGAGGGAAAGTCTTGTCACAGCGGTTGAGAGAATTGGGGCAAAGATGGCAGATAGTGTGAGAATCGACACCACACACTTCGTGACAACAGAAGGAAGAGGCATAGCTTGGGAGAAAGCAGTTGAGATGAATATTCCAGTCGTAAGGCCGGAATGGGTTGAGGGCTGTGAGAGAGGTGGAAGAATTGTGGGTGTTAGGCAGTATTATCTTGATGCGGACCCAAAACAAAGACAAGTGGTTTCGAATGCAACTTCACCTCAGCCAGCACAGGCTGAACCACCAAAAGAACAAATAACAACTCCACCTACCTCACCACCGTCAACAAACGGCACGAATGGTCGAACTGCCCCTCCTACTCCACCCGCGAAAGACATACCCAAGCCACACAAGGAAGAGAGAGAAAAGGGGCAAGAAGAAGAAGACTCCAGTAGCGACTCGGGAGGGGGGGGAGAAAAGGAAGAGACAGAAAAGACAGTAGTACCCGAAGAGCAGAAGTCCCGAGCTTCGGATGTAGAACAACAGAAACTTGCACTTCGACCCGCAGCCGCATTCGGGATATCTGCAGATGACTTGACCAAGTCAGGCGAAGAGAATGCATCCGGGAACCAGACACCAGGAAATGCTAGCTTCCAAGACGTCGCTCTGTGATGGATAAGCTTTCGGAAAGATGTTACATTTTTTGTTACTATTATACTATAATCTATGTTTTGGGCTGGCTAGCAGTGACAATCGCGAACAGGCATGGTGTTGGGATGGGAAGAGACATTTGTTACTTTGCTTCAGCGTTTCTCAAAAATGTTCTACGCTGACTTGAAGATACCAATATATAATGAAATTTTGACATCCTTATGGTTATAGACTTGACAATTTTTCTTGGTTTGATCTCGCTAGAAGATTCGTAACGGCATCCCCTTTTCCGGAATTGATGACTTAAATCCATCGGAAATGATATCTACCTAGTAGATCTCCTCTCAACGCACTTGTGTATACCCCACACACCCCGATCCAAATTACAGCTCAAGTTCTCGGAAAGATCGACCCCCCTATGGCTGAAGTATTAATACTATACATTCTGTCAAGCCACACCCGCCACTTGTAAGGATGTGATGTCTCTTTTCAAATCTGTCAATGATGCGGTCATTGAAGTTTTGATATCAAAGGAACCACCATAATCCCCCCTCCTCTTCCCTCTCTTCCAAATGACTTTTTACCTTCATTCTTCCACTCTTTCACAATACTACAAGAACCAAATTTGAAGGAAATGGCGTGGTCATTAGTTTGTCCTGCAAATCGAGGAATTGGTCTCTACCTGACACGACATCTCCTTCAAAATACACAACTTCCTGTCGTGGCAACCTCGAGGAAAGATATTGAAGGAACCAAGGAATCTATTTTGTCGAATTTGGATGTTGATCCTAAGAGATTGACAGTGTTGGAAGTTGATGTTACAAGTAAGTGGCCAAGCCACCCAATCATCTCACTTCTATTGAACCTCAGATACATAAAACACAAGAAGTCTCAGGTAAAAAAAAAGGAATTAACATACTCAGACGAATCTACCATCTCCGCCGCCGCCCAAGAATGCTCCTCTCTCTTCCCCCCCGCAACCCACCATCTACGACTCGCCTTCTCCATCCCCGGTATCCTTTATCCCGAAAAATCCCCCGCCCAATTAGATCAATCACAAATGCAACATACATTTGCCGTTAATACAATCGGACCCCTTCTCCTCACTAAACACTTCTCCCCCTTTCTTCCTCCTAAACGTTTAGATCTCTCCCTATCTCCAAGCACAAAAAACCTCCCACCCCACGCCCTCTGGCTCAACATGTCAGCCCGCGTAGGCTCAACCTCAGATAACGCACTAGGAGGCTGGTATAGTTACAGAGCTTCTAAAGCAGCTGTCAATTCTTTAACGAAGACATTTGACCACTTCCTAAAAACTAGACATGGCGATAACGCAATAGCGATTTCGTATCATCCAGGGACGGTGAAGACGGGGTTATCGAAGGATTTCTGGGGAGGAGTCAAGGAGGGAAAGTTGTTCAGTCCCGAGTTTGCAGTGGAGAAGATGTGGGATGTCGCTATGATGAAGGGGATTGAGAGTAGAGGTCGATGTTGGGATTGGAGGGGGGTGGAAATTCTGCCTTGAGGGGAGGGGCGAGAGGAGTCTGGGGAATGAACAGGCAGTCCTTGCGGAATTGACTTTGTTATTTAACAACGTTTCATGGTGGTTATCACGCTCCTATATATCAGTATACCTTTGTATCTTGACTTACGATACTATAGCGTTGGTGTTTACTTGAAATGTTTAGTTTTTTACTATTCATGTATGTATTTCTATATACATTTTATAGCTTTTTCGAGCATATATGAGCTAAGCTATCGTCAAATATCGTTTTTTCATCTCTACATAGTCCGTCAATCATAACTTGTCCCTTGTGAAAATCTTAAAAACATCAATCCATGTAGCAAAGTATAGCAACCATATATAATTCCCCCGTACCCTTTCTTTGATACAGTAAATATTCAGCAGAATACCTGTTGCCCACCTAACAATCTCCTGTTCGTTCATGTCTCGAGTTGGTGAACACTACACGCCCTCGAAGTCGACTATAACATTCCTACAGACATCCCAACCAAATATTCCCACCTAGCCCATTTCCACCTGCCTCCAAGCTCTCACCCTCATCCTGATCAACCCAAATTTTCCCCTTTGTGGCCAAAGCCAGTACGTGTAAGAATGCCTGAGCTGCCACAACCTCGCTGTTCGTTCCCGGATTGAATAATTCCACAAATCCCACCTTCTTATCCTTCAACTGTCTATCCTCACGAAAGATATCTTCCTCGGCATACCTTTCTTCAATCGATATTCTGACAAAATCGAGGAAATTTTCGCTCTCGGTGTCCATGACATCTCTAACCCATTGGCTCTGTCCCGCTGTCTGTGTATCCACATTTGCAGCTGGTCCGAACATCTCGAACTCCATATTCATTTGGTCGTCACCTCCCATATCCGCACCACCACTACTCCCCCTGTCTAAATTAGTACTGATATCATCACTTCTTCCATACATAATCAAATCTTGCTGCGAAGAGAATTTTTCGAGATCGCCTCCGCTAGGTAAAACACTGCCTCTTCCCACCAAGGGACTGGCAGCAACCCCTTTACTACCGAGTCTAAGCGAAGCAGCGGGACGTAAACTTGATGAGCGACCTCTCTGGCTAGCAGATAGGTTCCAAGGCATCATTGCACTGCTTGGATAGTCGGGCAATCCGTCCGCCGCATCTCTTCCCATTTCCACCTCAACCGGAGTACCGAATGGTTCTTCGCCGATTTGAATCGCAAAATCGTCACTGCCCTTGAAATCACGAAGAACTTCTTCATCGAAACGATGGCGAAGTCGTTTATTAGGAACACTCTTGTCTCCTTCGGATTCTGCCGGACGTTTAGCAGAATGCAATACTCGTCCGGTAATCTTCGCAAGAAGTGCATCGCCAGAAAACATACTCAGGGGGCCTGGAAGCTTTGTTGAGCCAATACCAATACCGGCACCATTGAGGCCGGTTCCAATGACGAACATAAGAGCATTTCTCTTGGCCAATGTATTTCCCTTGGTCGTTGACTTTGCTGCACTGAGAGCATTTTGGCTACTAACATACTCTCTTTGCCATTTTGAGAGATCCGAATTCTTGAGTTCTTGAGTTTCATCGATAGGAAGTTGTTTTTTGACTTTAGGTTTTCGAGGGTGCGAAGGTGCGGCTGCGCTTTCAGAGGACGACTCTTCAGGCTGTGAAAGTGATTGCTCGCGGCCTGGAACAGGAGCAGGTAAAGCACCACTCATAAAGGCAGGTATGTTGAAAGGTTCCGCATCAGGTAGCATCATAGCCTCATCGTCATCTCCAAACATCATATTCAAATCACCATCTCCCTCGTATGTACGACCGTAACCTCCAGCTTGGGCTCTAGCATCGTCATGTTCCTTGCGAACTCTCGCACTGGCAGCCGAATCACTACCAAATCTTGGAACTATAATTGTACTTGCTGCTCTTCGAGATGCGATCTCTTGAGCCGTCAAATCCCTAAAATTTCCATCCTGGTCAAATTCAAAAATATTATCATCTTCGAACAGGATAGCTTCGTCATGGAATACATCTCCATGGGCGGCAGACTTCTGCGCGGAAGACTTGGCGAATGGATCATTGAGAGGAAGCTGGTAGCCGCCTCCATTGAGACTCGAAGAGAAATTTAGACCCATTATCGAAGCTCCTTGGGAAGAGGAAATGGAGCTACCTCGTTCTCGTGAGTGAATCGATAGCGAAATCTGTGAATCTCGGTTTTGTGATTGATAGGCATCGATATTTAAATCGTAATCTGGGATTAGACCTGGAAGTGGCACATCTGGATCGAATGCAGGATCATCCATTAGCATCAATTGAGCTGGTCTTATTTTCACAGAAGTCAGTTTTTGCTCCATCACCACTTTACTTCAAACTACACAGAACTTACTTGACCTTCACGCCCTCTAAATCCAAGCTCCCCACCATTTTCTTTCCTAATCCCCTCAAACCCTGCTCAACATGAATAGTATCACTCAGAACATATCCAACCTGTTGACCATAGACCCTACTAACACCATACAATAGATTGCTTTGCAGTCGTAGTGCCATAGGGGCATCAGGTTCTAGGATTGTATTACAGGCTTTCTTGACATCGACATCGAGGATCGCTTTCCGGGTGATTTTTTTGGTAGATGATTTACTTCCAAGGGTCGCAACGAGCCAAACTGTTGCGACACCATGCTTTCGAGACGTGAGGACTAGATGTGATGTTAAAAGGAGAGTAATGAGGGAATAGGGGAGGTGATAGAGAAGCAAATGCACAAAAAACGGTAACTCTAGCAAGGAAGAGTTGAGCGCGTATGGGAAGACGAACTTTCATGACTGTAAAACATTTTTGCTCGATCCACTTCACTGCGCTTAAATTACGACTGGTTAGGAAGGCGCATGCGCAGAGATGGCAGTGACCTTCGACAATTGTCGCCGAAAGAAGAAGTCGTCTGAAGTGGTATTGAGAAGTATTTAGAAAGTACAATCACAAGACGATTGAGAAATATGGAAATGGAATAAGACTGAGAGATCAGAGTTTATGAGAACTTTGGAACTGAGACAACTTCAGCAAAGGAAGTCGCGTTTTCGCGTCCGGTCAGGTCGTTCCCTCCAAAAGTGAAGATGCCAAAGCGCAGGTGAAAGGCGGAAAAACTGAACTCACTTTTAGAATAAAATATAAGGAGAAACTTGTGGTGATATATAGGTACATATATGTATATATATATCAGTAAAAACATTGAAACGGAGCCACCAGCGCCCAATGAAGAATATCACTGAATATAGGAAATTTGTTGCTTTTCTTACTCGTAAGGTGACCCGCTCAGAGTAGTAACTCACAAGGATCGGTATTTACGCACTGTAATCTATATAACTCCATTCACACCATATTATACCGATGCCTTTATGTTTCAACAGATGTAAGTCCTACAATCCCTCGTTGATGCTAGCTAGACTGCTAACCCTAGTAAATTCAATAGTTGGCCTTCATCTATACACGTTGTGTTGAAGGTTACACACCAGACGCCGCAACTACACCCGCTACAGTTGTCCATTTCCCATATCCGTCTGTCATAAATTCATAGCAGATTTGTATTTTGCTTAGCTTGCATTGCCCACTCTTTGATCCGCATATTGGACCGTCTTCTCTTTTTTAGGTGTATTGGCCCTTAAGCTCGTTTGCGACATCTTCGGACGCACTAGTGGCGCCATAGAGATGGAATTATTAGCGGTATGTTGCGCGCTCGGTTGTCTCGATGGTGTGTTGAATGGAGAATCGCCTCGAATGGTTTCATCCTGTTGCCAGCTTTGAAAGTCCTTGGAACTCCAGCTTGCTCGATGAACTCGAGCTCCATATGGAACACTCCCATAGCCTGAATGTTGGCTGCGCATACTAGCGGCTCTGCTTCGACCAGCCATAGGTAACGAGTGTTGTGATGTGTTCGGATCTCGATTTCCTCTCAACTCCGGCATCTCCGGCACAACATCCTCATCTTCGATCTTGGGGGCTCGACGAACCTGGGTAACGCTAAAGTATGGTTCCTTTGGCTCTTCGGGCTCCGGGGGTGGTGGAGGTGGAAGATCTACAGCCTTTAGTTCCAAATGATCGAAATATCTCGTGCGAATAGTTTGTAGGTTGCGTGGCTTGAAGTCCTCGCGGTCACGCATGACTGACATGTAGCTCGAAATAGCCCCGAGAATGATAAGTATCAGTAAACCAATAGTCAAGAAACCTTGGATGACGATTATGATGACACCTATAACCGTGGTCGGAATGCGTGCAACATTATATCGTGGTAGGAATGCGACCGATAGACCTGCAGTAGCAACCTTACTAATACCAAGCATGTATACTGCCAAGGCTGTATTACGGGCACCCTCAAAAGGGTTGAGCCATATTATGGCAATGAAAGCAACGATCTCAACGACGAGGTTTCCAAAAACCTGGGCAGCCGGATTATCCCGAGCACCACCAACGAAACAAGCTCTGACAAATTGATATGCAACCCAAAATGAGAAGAACCACCAACGAGTTCTTCTGTATCGAGCCGAAAGCCAACCAAACCGTTTAGTATATTCATCATCCTGATGCACACTCTGCCTCTCCTTGTCTTGGTCGATGTAGTGCACGCGGAAGAATGATACGGACCCGGAAGCTTTTGCTTTATCGCCCTCTTCCATGCTACTCTCCCTAACAGCCCCATACCATGGGAGAAACTTCATGACTTTCTTGCGTCGAAAGTGTATTCGATCAGGAGACGAGGCGTAGTTGCCGAATCTCAGCCTGAAATAGCAAGCGTAGAAGCTAAACGCTAGAATTCCGGAGAAAAATATTATGAAGACGATGGCTGCAATTGCGATGATACCTGTTGTTCCCCCATAAGAGAATTGGTATAGCGACAAGGTCATTATCATGAAGAATGCAATAAGCATTGATCGAAGAACGATGAGTCCGATGAATTTCATAAAGTTGTTCCTGAAAAATGCAAGTCGATCCTCCTTTAGCCATCTCATCCTGCTAAATGCTTCCAAAATAAACGTAAAGGTGATTGCAGCGGCAACAAGAATAACAATCAAGATTAGATACCATAAGAACCCAACCAAGAAAGCATCATCTGCCGGGATATCAATATTGGCGAGTATTCCTGTGAAATTGGACCAAGTTCCAGGCAATGGTAATCCAGCTCCAACTGGATTTCCGTTCCAGTTATATCCTTTAGTAGAATTGTCGCTGACCGCACGTTTTGTCAACGATCCCATTCTCTTCACCATCCCATTTCCTCTTGCCATTTTGGACCAATGGCTATACTCTTGCAACTTTTTCAAAGAACGTCCGTAGATTTGTTGTTGTAATCCACCATTGTTATTGATAGTAGAAGACCCAGCACCACCAACTTGGCTTGAGTTTCCCGATACACCAGTGAAGCTGTTGACTGACTTGATCATAGATGGGGTATAAATCAAACCTGCCGACCAAGCAAAATTACTCCAAAATGCTGGCAAAACACTTGGCCAATCCACTGACAAAGCGCTAGAGAAAAAGATTGATTGAAAAACTTCGAATACCACCAGGACTGACAATGAGTGGGCGTAGTGAGTTCGAATATGCGGTACACTAACTCCGTATATCGCCGTGACAAACGAAGAGAATACAGCAACTGCTGTAAATACTCCTAGAACTGAGCCGACAGCGGCTGGGTGGGAAAATGATGCTCCGTTCCTCATGACTGCTTGAAAACAAGCAATCTCCGTTTGTGTACTATTCGAGAATACCCGCAGAGTGGCGGATCCTTCAAAATCTGGAATCACTAAGGCTATATTAGGAATTCCAGAGACATCGGATGCAGATACAGGAATGATAGCTTCGCCATTGATTGGTTTGCTGCTATTCATGGGACATAGACTGTACTTGTTAGCCAAGTTATGGAATTAGAAAATCGTGCACACCTTGCGAAGTTTGCATTACATGGATTGAAGGTTAAATCGAATCGATCCTCTCCATCTAAGTCACATATTAGTATCACATATTCACCAGAGATCATTCTACCCACAAGCTTGCACACCAATATGTACTAAGTTCAAGATTAGCCAGTATTTAATCAGTCATCTGTCGAACAGAACCTACTCATTACCGACTCGTTCTGTAAATTCGTGTTACCAGCGAGATGGAACAAAACCGTCATATTATCGGCGTAATAAGCCGCGTCAAAGGTCGTAACATTGATTAAACTCTGTCCATCCATGCAATCCCCAAAATTCCCTGTGAACAACGCCGGTGTTCTACTATCAAGTAGTTGAATTGTCTCTCCTGCAGAATTGGTCCCTTGAACATATGCAGCACTTGAAGTTGCAGAAACTGGAGAGATTGTATTAGGGATGACAAGGGAGAAGAGTAACGCGGTGGACCATGAGGTCATGAAGGAGGGTTTTCGTGCCATTTTCGAAATGGTAATATTAATAGTAGTATATGGGAAACTTAAAAGGGAAACAAGACGTGTGCGGAAATTCGCGGTAAGTAAGGTTTTTCGAATTCGAATATTAGGTCGAGAACGAGGATTGTCGGTATTTATTCCTTGATTTGATAGAAGGTGATCGGCCGACTCCAGTAAGTCTTTTCGTGGAGGTTCGTGGAGGTTCGTGGAGTTTTGTGGTTCACCTAGCCTCCAACCCAATCTCTTTCGTGGTACCCTTATTCAATCCGGATCAAGTTAAAAATCTTATGACGTAGACCAATAGTCGAGCTTGTGATGGTATTGCGAAATTATGGTGAATTGCTAGTGAGAGGTATTTCGTCTGAAGATTGATTCCGCCCGATTCTGCCAATGATAGGAAGTGATAAACCACAGATTGTAGTCAAAGATGATCATGTATCATGATGTTCAATGATTCATCAGTTGTTCATTTTCGACTTTCGTCAAAAAAAAGTGATAGTGGAAAGTCTAGTAGAATACACGGGGTTTCTATCCGTGGATGAAAACGACAGAGTAGGTATCTTCAAAGAAATAGGTAGGTAGAGAAGTAAAAGATAATGTTGATGGAGAGAACCTCGGAAACTGTAACAAAGTGGATATAATTGAATAATGGAGAATCCTTGAGTGTTTGGTCTGGGTGTCTGGGTTGTCTGGGTGTGGTCTATTTTTTTTTTGGCAAGTTCTTGTATCGGAAGATCGGAAGAAAGTTGTTAGTATATATAATAGAGTTAGTTATGCTTCTTCCTTGTTATCCAATCAACACCTCAGATCTCCCTCGAGCTTAGAGCTGTAGAGTTTGAAAAAAAGACAAGACAAAAAGGAGAAAACAAAAATGTAAATGTAAATGTAAAAATATGAATGGAACAAGGGATAATATTCTATTATTGATTCATTTGTTTTTGTATTTATTCATTTTACTAAGGAATTTACAAGTGAGACTTCTTCAGCGTTAAATTCAAATAGTAGCGCTGCAATGACAACGATACGATCTTATGGTATACATACAATTTGATACTTTGAGTACCAATGCGGCTAGGAAGGGTACCATCTCAGATCATGGTTGCGCCGGACAGGATATGGAATTAATATGGCAAACGCTTTCCTACCGTATCATTCAATTTTCAAAACGACCCCTTCTACTTGGCGATTGGCTTCATTGGTCTTTTCAGGAACGGAAGCCGATACCTAATAATATTGTGATGAGGGATCATTACTATTATAAGGCCGAATCTTGTAGATGGTACTATTTCGGCTTCTTCGGGAAACACAATAACGACATTCAACTTCCACAACCAATAATTTGACCAGGAAGAATGTTAATCTGATTGATCTTTATTGTTCACTCCTCCTTTTGCATTCCTGGAATGTCCAAAATTTGCTAAATTCCTGCATCTAGAGTCCAGACCTTGATTTCTTGTGTATCTTGCTTTCCATCTCTTTCCATCTGCACAAGTATATCATACTCCCTTTTCGAAATGATATCAATGATTCGATCATCAAATTTTGATAACAGCAAGCATCACACGCCTTCTTGCTAGCCACATATAGGTAGGTCTCCCGTTCACCACATGTGCAATGATCGGTCTGCAAGTCGATTTTGGGTCGATTTTGGGCGTGATATAGTGCTTGGAGCCTCTGGACTTTAGACTCTGGATGAGCTCAAGAAATCTGATTACAAGGACTTGCACGCAAACCTTACCTTCCGATGTAACCTGAGTGTAATTACGTTAAAGGAGATTATTATTTTCGTGTTTTCATTGTACATACTAAACCTTCCCAACCTCTTCTTCTTAGCCCAATATCCCCAGTGTCCCAAAGCAAGAACTATCAAAGTACCAGCCACGACACAGCATACCAGTATACCGTAGTTCGCTCTGCACAACAGCAATCAATATCATGCATAACCTTACTCGAGATATAATGCATTATGATCCGTATTATATATCAAGTATGACGCCACAATGACGCTTACCCGCCTCCTTCAAAAAAGAAGTCGCGATCTCGTATCTAATATTCTAATACTCGTAACAGTATTATATTCCACCTCTGACCTAATCGACAATCGAATACACGTTTGTCTGAATTCAACATCATGTGATCAATGGAATGGACTACGCGCGTATGTCTACTCGCTGTGTCTGGATTTTGAGTGACAGGATACCCAGTCGTGGAGGGCTTCATAATTACTTCGATGCCATGCTAGTACAAGCGGGAGATCGTTAAAGCTGAGATGCAAAAATACATCAGAGTTTGTTCTTGCACAGCAGTGAAGTGCATCATGTCACATGTTGGCCATTCATGAGTGTCCCAAAACAATGTCGTTGGCAACTCTTAGATGAGTTTAGCCACAGAATTCGGTCGAGGCTCGAGCTGACAAGAGCTCAAACTTTACTCTACTCTGATGAATGTTCATTTCAAAGTCAAGTGACCATTTACAAGATCGTCATTTTGATGTGGTAATAGTTATGCTTGGGGGAAAACATATGTGGAAAGAAGAATGAAGAAAAGGAATACAAAATTATATTTACTTCTACTCTTTTAAGTTAATCCTAACCAGACTCTTCTTCTCTATATACTCATAGATAGGGGATATGACTAGATGCTTTTGACTTCTGTGTCACTAGAATGACCAGATAGACTAGTGAGTGATGGGACTCTATGGCTAACTACCATTCGTATAGATATCTTCGTGGTTCGCAATTTGTCTAAACTCCTCTTTCTCCTTATATCGCTTTCACGGAAGCATGGTCCGAGCAAACTATTCGAACATTTACAAAAGATTACTGACATATATCGTATCTTTATTGCAGTTCTGAGGGATAGGTTCCGGTCTTCAAAAGCTTTTGAGTCACACATAAGTCGGGCAGCAAAATGATAGAGGTATCTGCTACATCATAATGGCATAGTTCATGGCATAGAATTATATCGCAGTCCAGAATGGCTAGCACTAGGAACGACTTCCATCCCAGCTTTAAATCTATGAGATGGCCATAAGTTGATTATGGTCAGATCAATTCGTTCATAACATCACCTCATAGCTCCTTCGCTGGCAAGATCATAGTCACAGGTCCCTTTTGCTGAAGAACTTCTCTAGCCGGGCCCTATCGTAATAATTATCGACGTTCATCCCAATACTTTGCAAAATGAACGGCAGGTACGTGCTAATTGGTACTTGGACTCCTGGAACACCAAATTGTAGATTTATACAGCTTGCGAAGTACAACAAGCCCGATACAACTCCGTTGTCTTCTACAACAGCATCACCACCGTCTCCTAAGCAAGCGCCTTTGATGCCTTCTTCTGGACCCGCACAAAAGTGAGGTGAGGTCAGTTTCTCTTCCACTATTGTCTCCCACGTTTCGTCGCATGTATCCGTGGGCTCAACAACTTGGTCCGCATACATCAAAACCGGGGAGTGAGGACCCTCATAATAATGTGAGCCCCATCCAGCAATTTGTACGTGTGTGCCCGGGGCAGGTAAAGGGGTGTGTGGGAGTGGTAGCCGAGCAACTTCGATTTGTGGCGGGAATGGTTCTTTGAGCCACACGACAGCAATATCGTTTGCTCGAGGGTGAAGAGTATAATCCGGATGCAGCGTAATTGTGTCAAAATCTCGCGATGGGGAGCCATCGAGAGCTAGCCCAGACTTGGCTTGCGGGTTGGCATCGCTCACGTTTACCAGATGCTGTACGCAATGCGCTGCTGTAAGCACGTGTTGATGGGTGATGAGAACTAGATCAATAGTTAATTAGTCGATATTCATAATGATGTGATTAGAGATTCCGGTAGTAAAGGGGAAGCTGCGAGGCACATGAGTATTTGGAAAGCATGCTCTGATAGTTGGTATACGGCACATTATAAACACGATGGGGGTATACTTACAGCCTCCACAAGCCGCATACCTTCCATACGACCACAGAGTAACTGAATATGGAAACTGGCCTTCCTCTGCAATGGTGCCATTCACAATTGCCTGCACATGCCTCGACAAGGCGATGACGAGCGCCACGCTTTTTCGAGACCAAATCATGGTGCTTAGATATTGTCGTGAAAACTTGATAAGTAGATGATGTTGGGTGTAATGGCTGGTCGGAATGTTTAATCAAAGTTCGAGGGCCATTAAAACCGTAAGTTTCTAGATTTAATGACAATGAATCAGTGAACACAGTGTCTGAATCCTCTCTTAATTTGTACAAATTCTGCTACCTGCATCATTATACGTGGTATCATTCTACATTTCAGTGAACTGTTCCACTTCTTGAGTTACACAAATTCTGTGCATCGCTTCAATCCCCTTCGCGCGGTACAGCGGTACAGCGGTACGAGAACCAAAGTCACTAAATAGCTTCCGAGTGTAACGGTCCGCTTGAGACATTATGTTTCCGCTTCCTTTCTACAACTGATTTGACTACTCGTTACTCTTGAACTGGGGTTTACTAGAACGATGAAGATTGCTACGCAATATCCCTGCCGACTCTTCCACAAGTGAACCCCCGATATTGATGAGGGAATACCCAAATACAGTGCGCACATAACGCCAGCGGGAGTTGATATTCTCGCTTCCCGCGGGTAAAATCTGAAAACCTCCAACCACGTGGAATAGCATGACGATAGTTCCGATGTCAGTGTGGCCACCCAGACTGATGATCCTGCCATGAATGGGCTGCGGACGCGCCATAAGAAGCCGAAGAGATGTAATTTAGCTGATGGTTCGTCCAAGAGAAAAAGTGCAGATACTGTACCTGGGGTCAACCTAAGTGTTGATCGAGGTGTGTCATAACCTGGGGTACAGCTTCATGCGAATGAAAAAAAAAGTCGCTTGCAGTCTTTACGATGCATTTGGAACCCCTCAGGGGTCTCGGTTCGATAGTTTCTCACCTTCGTCCGAATTGCGTGAATCGAGCAAAATAAGCCATGTTCCCTACATGCCTCGTAGAGATTCTCAAACTCCTCGGTGGAGTTACCTTGGATTTCGAGGTACGAGATTGTGGTCTCAGCAATGGACACTTCGGACTGAAACTCTGGACTATCTTCGAAGTGTTTGGATGTAGGCATAGTTAATGTTTGAGGACGTTGAAGTTCGGGTTTTGAACGAAATTAAAGAGAAGAAAATGGAGAAGGGGAGAGGGAACAAGGGTGAATATAGATTAGCTCAACTCTAGTTTCTTACTCCTCTATCCGAGTAGAATGGATCGGATTCTCGATTGTTTAATGTAGGGCTTGTTGATATATCAGAACAAAACTGTCTGGATATCACTCACTTAGCTGTAGTGAGCGGTAGGGCTAAGGGCTAGGGCAATAAGCGACACTTTGACCACTATAGAGCGTATATCATTTAGTATTAGCATCTCTATAGTTTAGTTCCTTAAGGTAATACAAATATACGAAATACGATAGTATTATTGATATTTCATTATTACTACAATGATATTAATATTGATTAGTGATTCTGATTTTATTACTGATTTATAAATCAGCAAGGTATTAACTTTGAAGAGATCTGAGTTTTCATAGAAACATTTGTTTTTAATATACTAAGAACAAATATCAGATTCAAACCAAAGAAGTATAACTTGAAGTTGTATATTTATCCTTTTGTAATAACTTTACATTATATCATTTTCGAAATTTGTAAACTATAAATAGGAAAAAACTATATATCTATCCTTTTGCAATAATCTATTTCATTATAATTTTTATATTCAAAAAAGTTGTATATCTATCCTTTTGCAACAACTTTCCATTATATATCCAATTATACATCAGATATTGAATTAGATTTTATAAATCTGTCCTTTTACAACAGATCCTACATCGAATATTGTCTTGTTCGAGTTTAGTAATAATCTACACCTTTTTCGATTTATAAATAACTTTGCCAATTCTGCAAAATTATACTTATCTATACAAGTCTTTATAATTTGTATATTTATATCTATTTAGATATATCTATACCTACTTGCATATACCTATACCTATATATCCATATTTACCTGGATATATTTATATCTATATATCTACATTTATCTATACACATCTACACTTACTAATATTTGTTTACCAACACAATACTTTTCGATTAATACAAGAAACTTTGATATTTTGATAGAATTATTAAATACTACAAAAAGATAACAATCATAGAATCAATAACTCCTAAAATATATATTGATTTAACCATAAGTTATAATATATCAGATTCAGGAATAATATTACTAAGATATCTATCAAGATTAGAATCTATTATATCTATTCCAATAATTATATGAATAAAATCATTAATACTCGGTTTAATCAATAAAAAGGATTATAGAATACTTTGGATCAAATATAGCAGAGAATCGGATTTTGATATAATAATAGTTGGTTAACAAGATATTCAAGAACTATACAAATACAAATATTATTATTATAAAAGGTATAATTTGTTTAATAATAGCTTATGAAGAGATTATACAAAAATCTTCCAAGGATTTATATCCGAATTATTCGAATTAACTGGTCTACAATT